CCCCCCCCTAGTTGCGCCTCTGTATACAACTAGAGAAGGATTGTGTGTATCTGACTTATACAACTAGAGAAGGATTGTGTGTATCTGACTACAGCTAGAGAAGTAAGGTTTAAGTGCATCTGAATAAAACTAGAGAAGAATTGTGTGCATTTGACTGTAACTAGAGAAGGGTTTTGTATATCTGACTACACCTAGAGAAGGATTGTGTGTATCTGAATACAACAAGAGAAAGGTTGTGTACATCTGACTGTAACCAGAGAATGGTTTAGTATATCTGACTGCAACTAGAAAAGGATTATGTGTATCTGACTGTAACTATAGAGAAGGGTTGTGTGTATCTGATCGTAACCAGAGAAGGGTTGTGTGTATCTGACCGTAACCAGAGAAGGGTTGTGTGTATCTGACTGTAGTAAATATCCTACTCCTAGAAATACATCTAGGTCAGTACCAATCCAGGTACAACTCAATCCCTCTCGTTAATACACGAGGCATAAGAACTATTCTGTTCAATACTCAATCTGTATCAATCACTCTCGTTAATTCACAAGGCATAAGAACTATTCCTTTAATGAATATCGTTAAACCTGCTGATTATGTCGAACATTGCTATTAAATTATGTACGTTTGTAAATAGCTATGTAAACCCCATATTGTGATTTATCTTAACTGCACTATAAATAACTACATAAAATGATTAGATTAATTACGCTATATATATTGAAGTAGAACTTGTGATTATACTCGATTAACTTTAACTTGTTACATAGAACCCCCAAATACATTCAGTTGGAATATTGCTCTGCTTTGTTAACAGTGTGAGAGTAATTGTTTCTTGGTTAGCGAACAAGAAGCGTCCTGAACCTGAGAATACGACTGAGCCATAACTAGATTGATATTGGCTATGATTTTCATGTGAACCTTGAGTTCCTGATTAAGTTATATCTTTAGGACATATACCTGAAAATACAGACTGAGCCGTATTCAGGAACCTTGAGTTTCTGATTGAGTTGTAGCTGTAGGACATGTACCTGAGAATACAGACTGAGTTGTATCCAGATTGATATTGATTATAGTATTTGTTTTAACCTTGAGTTCCTGATTGGGTTGTACCTGGATTGATACAGATCTGAAAACAGTTTTAGGAGTAGGGCATTCCATACAGTAAGAGAAGGATTGGAGTATCTGACTACAGTTAAAGAAGGATTGTTGTATCTGACTACAGTTAGAGAAGGATTGTTGTATCTGACTACAGTTAGAGAAGGATTGTTGTATCTGAATACAACTAGAGAAGGATTGTGTGTATCTGACTGTAACTAGAGAAGGATTGTGTCACGTGTGTATCCGACTACAATTAAAGGATGGTGTGTATCCGACTACAGCTGGAGAAGGATATCCCATCAATCCTGAACTGTCTGTGCAGCTTAGAAACTATCAGGGGCGTACATAGGGATTTGTCCGCGGGAAGAGGGATCAGCATTATTTTTTGTTGTTGAATCTCTTTGCTTAGGAACAATAGCCACGGATTTTAAAAAGAAGAGCTTTAAGCTCAGAATTTTTGAATTATTAGACAAAGTGAAAGATAAAATATTTACAGATTTAACAAAAGAACTTTTATTAATCAAGATTCAAGAAACATACTTAAACAAGCAAATTTACAGTTTTTAGATTTCAAGTTACTAGAAAGATTTCTGAGCACAAAAAACTCCGATTACGTTGTAATCCGCTTGTTTCTATAGTTTCAGTTTTCAAAAATTACTAGGCAAGATCCTGAAAAGAATTCCTTAATATGCGCACATTTTAGCCAGATAATTCAGCTTATAACAGTTACAGCGTTTGTTTGTTTTACTTTTACATTTTTCTGGAAGACGACATTGCCATTTTTCTAGAACGACAGCTGAACAGCTGGCCCAGACTGCAGACAACCTTATTGAATTGCAGAGTAGGGTAAATATACTTTTTATTAAAGCTTAAACAATTTTACAGCTTCGACCAACTTCCATATACCAAAACTGTATGTTTCATAAGGTTACTATTTTATAATGTGCCAAAGTTTTGCTCAGACATAACATATATATGTTATGTCCAATATATATTGGGAAAAACGAAAACTGATCGTTAACCATAGATAATTTACATTTTGCTTTGTATTATTTGTTATTATTTGTTATTATTTGTTAGTATTTGTAAAACTAAAAACTTCACTCAAAGTATAGCAAAAGTGAAAACTTATAAAAATAGAAATATGATTATGCATCTTAGATTCTTGCGGAGCCTATCTCTATCTATGGTTTGAACTGAATCCTATTTTAATTTAGTTACGTGAGAGCCTGAGTGGTTTAGCTGGGTTTCTCTCCGATCTAGGACAAGTTGCAAGAGATGCTGGGTCTCAACTCAACAAAATTAAAAATATTTAAACAATTTTTTAACTAGCCCTTAGTGTCACCCATAAGATTCTTGAAAAGCTTCCTTTTTTAAAAATTTCTATTATAAGAAATTGAGTGGAAACGATTATAATTTAAAAATGAAGTTTTTCATAAATTTTATTTTTGAACTCGAAAAGCAAATATTGAAATATAATTGTTTAAAAAAAATATTTTGTAGATTCACATAGTAAAAGGAATGAATAAAGAAATGCAAGTTTAAAAGATTTTTCGTTATGCATTTCTGAAATTTGAAATGAAAGATATTCAGAAAGAAAGATTTATAAGAATGCATTAAGAATTCTTTGTTCTAATATAAAAAGCATTTGAAAAACAGGGGTGCCGAACAGCTCCAAAATAAAAAGCACAATGATTACAATGAACGAAATTCTTCCTGTTTCCTTTATTTTTGGAAGCTGATGGTGTAAACATTTGATATTTCATGCTTTGACTATTAGAACTATAACAATCAGAACCAGAACTTCAGCCAATGGCAGTGCAGTATACTGGTCACGTGATTTCCATCTATATCACGTGACCAGTATACCGCACTCCCATTAGCTGACGTTCTGGTGACTTAATACGGACTATATGAAATAATTTTATCAATTATATCTATTTAAAAATGCAAAATAAAAATAAAAATCGAGATTCATCCTATCCCCCTTCCATTTTTCCTTTACAGTCCCTTTAAGAATGTATACAAATTTACTCTATGTAATCTATGTAAATATTTACATTAATAAAAAAAAATGTTCTTAGTCAAATAAGCAATTAACCCAGCCTGGTAGTGTAGTTTACTAGTGGTTCAGTAAACTGGAGAAGGAGACTAGGTCTGAATATTAAGTATCTTCTCACAATATATTAAACATTGAAAATATTCTACTTTTCTTATTAAAACACTCAATCATTTGGGCGCTCCTAAATCTTCCTTTCAGCTCATATTATCACAGTTCCTTGTTCCATATTCCCCTAGTTCCTTGTTCCATATTATCACAGCTCCTTGTTCCATATTCTTCTAGTTCCATATTCTCCTAGTTCCTTGTTCCACAATCTTCTAGTTCCTCGTTTCTAGTTCCTTTTTCCATATTTTCCCAGTTCCTTGTTCCACATTCTTCTAGTTCCTTATTCCAAATTATTCTAGTTCCTTGTTCCATATTCCCCTAGTTCCTTGTTCCATATTATCACAGTTCCTTGTTCCATATTCTTCTAGTTTCTTGTTCCATATTCTTCTAGTTCCTTGTTCCATATTCTATCTAGTTCCTTGTTCCATATTCTTCTAGTTCCTTGTTCCATATTCTTCTAGTTCCTTGTTCCATATTCCATTATCTATCAATGAATATAAATAGATATTATTTATATATTGAAGATATTCTATAGATTAATAGATACCTGTCCACTGACCAGTACAACAACACTGTAGGTCTTGAATAATGAATGAGTTAATGAATATATCCACTAAGGTTCGGACACGTTTACTACTGTATGCTTTCTGCAACCCGGAGCAGTAAACCAGGGACTAACAGTCTATATCTTGGAATATTCAATTCCACAACTCGCTGGAGTAAATAAACAACAATTTTATAGTTCTGGTATTTTCTCCAATTTTATTAGATTTCGAAAAATTAAAAATGTGCAAATGATAAAAAAACGTTTAAAATTTGCCGACAGCCATGAAACCATTTTTAAATAAAGCAGTATTTTTGTTTAGGGAAGAGATAAATAAAATTTTAAACTACTATAAAGGGAAGTTAATTTTTCCCGTAAAAATTCATAAACTATACAAGGTATGAATTTCTCAAACATTAATTTTTGGATTTAAGAAATGATTATTTTTCGGCTCAGTAACATTTTGCCTAGTCACATTTGGCCAGAAAATTCTAAAGGAATTGAGTATTTACCACAATCTCCAATCCCATTATCTTTGCAACCAAATGTCAAAGACCTTCGATATTTCAAACTGTAAGATTGGATTTTCTAATTTTGAAATATTAAAGGTTTATACCGTATGCTTGAAATATTAAAGGTTTATACCGTATGCTTGAAATATTAAAGGTTTATACCGTATGCTTGAAATATTAAAGGTTTATACCGTATGCTTGAAATATTAAAGGTTTATTCCGTATGCTTGCAAAGACAAAGGATTAGAAATTTTTTAGTTTGTGGTAAAGACTCAATTCCTTTTATGCTACTTAGTTTAATATTTTAGTACACTATTCAAAATTTGGTTTTTGCCAATTGAACCAAGACCAAGATACACAACAATCAAACAGTATTTGTCAATTATTTCTTTTAAATTTAAGCTAGAAATTTGTTAGTTTCAATTTTAAAATGTACTTGTCTAGGGCTACAAAGGTAAAACCAAACTGTTGTCTACTAGTGTTGCCAAAGTCATAATTTTACTTGAAAGGTAAAACACACTTCAAAAATACACAAATTAAAAGTTTATTAAACTTCTCAATTTTGTTAGGAGCCTGAAAACTCAAAAAAAGAATTTAAAAGTAAAAAAACGAATAAAAACTATGTTCACAATGAATACCACTGGGAGTAGCATCATGGTAAATTAGATAAAAATATGCTTGGAATCTTGTCGACGCAGACAGGATGTAATTTGTTATATTTATTTTTACGTGGTATAAACACTGGGTGAATGAATCCCTTCTTGAATACTCCTTGAAATAAAAATCCCGTATTGAATCCTCCTTGAAAGAAAAATCCCGTATTGAATCCTCCTTGAAAGAAAAATCCCGTAATGAATCCTCCTTGAAAGAAAAATCCCGTATTGAATCCTCCTTGAAAGAATTGATAAACGGTTTGGTTAATAATCGATTCATCAAAAATTTCTTGAAAGTTAATTCAGGTTGAGTAAAAACATTGACATTTTCCATCAATTTTCACTTTTTCCTAGATTTTCCGACTTACAGTCTACAGAATATAGATTAGGAAGACAGATAGATTCATGAAGAATAAAAAATAAAAAAGATCAAAAGATGCTCAAAATCGTTATTGTGACCTCAACAAGTAATTTGATATTACTGCAAGAGTANATAAAATTGGATATAAAGACTTGAAAACTATAAGGTTAGATACTGAAAAAAATAGTGAGGCTTGTAAAAAATGAAGAGAATACTTAAAAAATTTAAAAACTCATAAGTCTTTATTTTGGTTTTTAGTTGTGTGATTTAAGAATTTTCCAGCACCTAAAATAATCAGACGTCTGGCCAAAATGACCCTTCGTTAAATGTCTATCCTTCCCTTTCCCTTCCCTCAACTTGGATTCATTTACTTTATTTCTGAGATGAAACAAAAACTGATTTCCGCTTAATATAGAATTTGGATATTGAGCCGATTCTGTTTTCATTAGAAAGGGAGACGGAGATAATATTTGCAAATATTTTAATATTTCGCAGAAAAGGAAAATGAAGACGGGACCATGCCGTGTCGTTATTTTTCTCTTCCTCGCACGATGCCAGGGGAGCAATAACGATATCAAATCTACGCTTCTGGGTCGGAAAAATGTTGAAGCTGGGACGGAATTTGATCATTTAAAGACGGAGGTGGAAAGAGAGAAAATCTACGGAGTACCGGAGAATGTTGAGGTAAAAAACTTAAACAAAGTGTAGTGTTCAATATTCAAGAGTGTACTGTTGTAACCAGAAAACTGTGGAATAATTGTTGTCTTACTTCTTCTTTTAAATATAAAATTTTTGCTGCATTGCAAAACCTTAGTCTCCGACATGCCGATGTCAAACATCAAAATTCCACATCTTAGCCATTGGAATAATAAGTCGGTTTAAAGTTTGCTGGGTGAGGATTGTGTAATTGTTACAACTGCAAATATTTCTCCAAATGTTCAGGGCAAAGAAGATGTTTAAACTCTTCCTCAGAGCTAGTTTTGTCAATTCTGGAGTGATAGATAGCATCCTTGCAATAAAAATATTAGATGGCGATAAAATGATAACAAAAATATAGAAAGTGACTGATAAAATCAATTATCATTGTGAAATAAAAATTCACTATATATGGACACAAACTAATGTACTTACCATGTACCATGTACTTACCCAAAGATCATTATTTTCTTAATATTTGCTAGAGTGTAAAGTTCCAAACTCCGGTACTATCTGATGAAGAGGAGAGGTCCCCCCACCTACCAACCTACCTCCACTGTGATGCATGTCTAGGAGTAGCGCATCAAATCGCGCTTAGTTTAGCTTACGCGCACAGGAATCTTTTCAATACTTTTAAAAATAACGTTTAGAGTGGAAAAATCCAATCTTTTTACCGATGGTTCAGTTTCTTCTAAATCGATTTAATGAGTTCATGGTTACCCATACAGGATAAGACTTCAGAGACGACGGTACGGAATTAATTTAGGCTTTTTTCTTATATTCATTGTCCCTTTTAGTTGTACTATACAGTATATACGAACTAGTATTTTTATTTCCAAATCCAAATCATTGAGTAAACTTTAACTTCCAAAAATCTTTTTAACAGCATATTATAATCGGCATGCATTATTAGATCGGCATGCATTATTAGATCGGCATACTTTAGGAATTTCAGGTCGTAATTAAAGTCTCATCATTTTGTGGGTAACCCTGTAACATATTTCGAATAAAGATCAAATTGATCTGCAGATTAACAAAAGATCGAGATCAAGAGCATAGATCTCGATATCCATAACACAAGAGTTCCCAGCTCTGAAATAATATTTTTATATATTCTTTCTCTTCAGTTCAAATATAGAGAACACTGAAGCCAGGTTTAATCTTTAGATTGCCCATAGATCCATAGATATAGACATAGATTAGATACATCACAGATTCCATAGATCCATAGAAGATCTAGACATAGATTAGACACATTACAGATTCCATAGATCCATAGAAGATCTAGACATAGATTAGATACATTAGAGATTCCATAGATCCATAGAAAATCTAGACATAGAGTAGATACATTACAGATTCCATAGATCCATAGAAGATCTAGACGTAGATTAGATACATTACAGATTCCAAAGATCCATAGAAGATCTAGACATAAATTAGATACATTACAGATTCCATAGATCCATAGAAGATCTAGACATAGAGTAGATACATTAAAGATTCCATAGATCCATAGACTTAAATATAGATGTAGATCCATAGATATATCTAGACAAAGAGTAAGTGTACATTGCAGATTAAGCAGTATATATTGTCCATAAATACAGAGATATATATATAAACATAGAGTAGGTATATTACAGATTAAGCAGTATATGTTGTCCATAGATCCATAGATATATCTAAACAAAGAGTAGGTTTATTACAAATTAAGCAGCATATATTGTATATAGATCCATATATACATATAAACATAGAGTAGGTATATTACAGCTTAAGCAGTAAATAATGCCCGAAGATGCGTAGATAGATCTATACATAGAGTATGTAAATTACAGATTAGCAGTATACATTGTCCATAGATAGATCTAGACATAGAGTAGATATATTGCAGATTAAGCAGTGTATATTATCCAAACATATATTTTGATCTAGACATAGAGTATGTATATTACAGATTACGCAGTACATATTGTCCATAGATCCATAGACAGACCTAGTCATAGAGTAGTTATATTACTGATTAAGCAGAATATATTGTCCATAGATCAATTGAAAGACCTAGACATAGAGTATGTATATTACAGATTAAGCAGTGTAGATATATTACAGATAAAACAAAATATATTGTCCATCTTTAATATTATTAGTCCATTGAACTGGATACATCATAAATACTATTAGTCCATGGATCAGGGTATATCTTTAATATGATTAGTCCATGGATCAGGGTATATCTTTAATATGATTAGTCCATGGATCAGGGTCTATATCTTAAATAATATTAGTCCATGGATCAGGGTATATCTCTTTATATGATTAATCCATGGATCAGGGTATATCTTAAATAATATTAGTCCATGGGTCAGGGAATATATCTTTAATATAATAAGTCCATGGATCAGGGTCTATATCTTAAATAATATTAGTCCATGGATCAGGGTATATCTTTAATATGATTAGTCCATGGATCAGGGATCTTAAATAATATTAGCCCATGGATCAGGGAATATATATTTAATATAATAAGTCCATGGATCAGGGTATATATCTTAAATACTATTAGTCCATGGATCAGGGTATATCTTTAATATTATAAGTCCATGGATCAGGGTATATCTTAAATATGATTAGTCCATGGATCAGGATACAGCTTTAATTGATTAGTCCATTGATCAGGATACATCTTTTACAAGATTAGTCCATGGATCAGGCTACATCTTTATTATGATTAGTCTATGGATCTAGGATCCGTTTAAAAGGAAGAAGAACCAATACCAAGTTAACTGATGGTCAAACTTTACATTATTGATGCCCGGGCAACCGTTGGGAGCTTCACTGGAGGGGGGGGGGCGGGGGGCAATTAAGGGGTGAAAACAAAGGGGGCAAACCTTGACCTATTAAGCCCGGTGGAGGGGTACAACGATGAATTCCAAGTATGGAGAAGGAATAAATTAAATTTTCCCGGGAAAAGCATCAATAGTTTAATATTAAGGAGATTTTTAAGGAGGTTTTATTATTAAGGAGATTTTGAAGAAGGTTTTATTATTATGGAGATTTAAGTTGAAACTAGTATTTAAACCTAACCTTGAAAACTACAACTTTTTCACAAAATTTTTCATAGTAAATTCATAAAAGTAGAATAATAACAAAACAAAAAAACAATTTCTCATCATTTTCGAAAAATTCCAAACTACTTTTTATGTTGCAACAAGAAAATTAAGATTTATTTCAAATAAAAATTTGGAGAAATTCTGTATTTAAAGAACTCCTGATTAGAATGGGATTAGACCCAAATTCAAAAGTCATGAACAATCCCTTCCTAATTTAGTTTAAAATGGTTGTCCGTGTTTGGCTGTGGTGGTATAGTACATAACCAGTATTATTTCCCTACCGAGAACTCTTATTATCGTATAATGGTATTTTATTGAACAATTTTCATTACACTCAGGGGATTCTAAACCTACAAAATATTTCTGCCAAATTCAACATTTTTTACATTTATTAATTATCATGCATATCTTTTGATTCAATAAAAAATTTCTGGATATTCCAACCCATCCTTCAATCCTATATTCTAACCCGTCGTTCAATCCTGGATATTCCAATCCATCTTTCAATCCCGGATATTCCAACCCATCCTGTAATCCTGGATATTCCAACCCATCCTGTCATCCTGGATATTCCAACCCATCCTTTAATCCTGGATATTCCAACTCATCCTTTAATCCTGGATATTCCAACCCATCCTTTAATCCTGGATATTTCAACCCATTCTTTAATCCTGGATATTCCAACCCATCTTTTAATCCTGGATATTCCAACCCATCCTTCAATCCTATATTCTAACCCGTCATTCAATCCTGGATATTCCAACCCATCCTTTAATCCTGGATATTCCAACCCATCCTTTAATCCTGGATATTCTAACCCATTCTTTAATCCTGGATATTCCAACCCATCCTCCAATCCTGGATATTCCAACCCATCCTTTAATCCTGGATATTCCAACCCATTCTTTAATCCTGGATATTCCAACCCATCCTTTAATCCTGGATATTCCAACCCATTCTTTAATCCTGGATATTCCAACCCATCCTTTAATCCTGGATATTCTAACCTATCCTTTAATCCTGGATATTCCAACTCATCCTGTAATCCTATGTATTCCAACCCATTCTTTAATCCTGGATATTCCAACCCATCCTTTAATCCTGGATATTTCAACCCATTCCTCAATTCTGGAAATTACAACCCATTCTTTAATCCTGGATATTCCAACCCATCCTTCAATTCTGGATACTCCAACCCATCTTTTAACCCTGGATATTCTATTCCGTCCGTGAAGTCCATATTTACGATTAGCTAATATTGAAAATTCCGCTTGAAAGTCAGGTTTGATATTATCGGCCCACACCCTCCTCAATGGATAATATTTATTTTAAATAAGTTTCTGCGAGAATCTGAAATTGAATATTCACGGGTTTAAACATAGATAAAGTACAAGAACAAACGGATAAACTTAGGTTTCTTGTCAAATTTGAAACGTATGAAACGTTCTATATCTTTATATTTAACTGTTCTTGTAGAATAGTTTCAACAATTCTCCATCCTTTCCCCGTCGATCCCGTCCTTACTGTACAGTACTGTTCCGTTATGTCTCTACTGTACCGTTCTGTATATACTGTGCCGTTCTTATTCTACTGTACAGTTTCATCTGTACTGTACTGTACTGTAATGTGTCGGTCTACCTGTAAGGCTACGTCTGTAATGAAGAAGTCTATAGATTTAAGGTTTGCTTTGATCAAAACCCAGGATATATTACAATGGTTGAAGTCTCATTGAACCAGGTTTAAACCAGGTTTAATTTATTAATTAATTATTACTCTGGGTAGGATCAAACACTGGTCTGGTCAGAACACACAAGGAGTCTTATTCAATTGTTCTTTGTAAGTGGAAACCTCGGAAAATGGGGGGGGGGGATATTTTCTTCTTGCAAAGATGGCAATTAATGATTAAAATTGGTAACCTTCAAAGCTTTGTCTGGTCAGGTATGAATTAGATCTCAATGTTTATAAATTTAAAAACGGATTATTTTCCATTGTGGTTTCTCTATTAAACAACATATAGGAAATATTAGAATTTTAAACTTTTGAGCCAAGAAAAACGACAATATCCTCCACATAATTAATCAGACAATAGTCTCATGGGAACCAATTTAAAATTTTAATCGGGTATTGTCATCTTTGCCTGATGACCACTTGAAAAAACGCTTACAACGCCAGATTAAAAAAAACGTTTATATAAAATTATTGAATTGAAGGCATATTCCTATTGAACGTGATATACCAGAGTGGGAGGTACAGGAGGCAATAGAGACTACATGTCAATATGAGAATTTTGTGTAAGTTAAAAAAATATTGTATCTTTAAAAGGAGTTATAAAGAAATTGAGTCTTTGCCACAAGCCCTTATTTTCTAAATCCTAAATATTTGCAACCCGATGTTTTAGATCTTTGATACTTCAAACTAAGAATTATGTTAGATCAAATAATCTAATTTTGAAACTCAAAAATGTACACCATCAGATTGCAAAGACATAAGGATTGGAGAGTTTAAGTTTATGGCAAAGATTCGATTTCTTCGTAATATCATGGACCCTATTCTCTATAAAAATTAGAAAAACTACTAAAAAATTAGGGTGAGGCTTACTAAAATTTTTTTTAGAACGTATGGACTGACCGAGGACTCCACAGGGAAGCATAGAATACGAGGTCCAGGGGTAGAGGGGAACCAGGACTCAGATGGAAGGTATTAACTGGAGTGTGGCCATTTTTTATTTTAAAATTCAAAATGGTATTTTCTATGATTTTGCTGTTTTACGTTCTTACTCTGCAAAAACATGTTAAAACCAAAATCATTTAGAGAAAACGGTAGAACGAGAGTTTCCGGGAAAATGAAAGGGTGAACCCTGAAATAAATTTTAATTGATTGGTATATATTTTTTCATACGTTTTGTGTAGAGAAAAATAACATTATAAGCGGAGAAGCGGAAATATTTCATCAGATATACATTCAAAACTTATATCATTAAATCATTTTTAACTTAATCCTTTAACTTTTGCAATAAAATAGTTCGAACTTTATAAGAAAAAAAAGATTGGTAAGAATTAATTACGAAATAAGTCTAGGTTCACTCTTCCTCTAACCAATCAATCTTATATTTTTCGCTTGGTCTTCTACAATATACATCTTTAGTTGCAGTTAACATTTTTAATATTGTAAAAAGGGACCAACTCAAGCAACTAATGCATATCGCAGATTCTTGTGAAGTCTCTTAGAAGTAAAAAAACGATTTACGTGGAACCTAAAACCGATGCACGCTAGTCCAAGTAGAACGGATACACGCTAGTCCAAGTAGAACAGATACACGTTAGTCCAAGAAGAACGGATACACGCACGCTTGTCCAAAAAGATAGGATACACGCTAGTCCAAGAAGAACAGATGCATGCTTGTCCAAGTAGAGCAGATGCAAGCTTGTCCAAGTAGAACGGATACACACTAGTCCATGTAGAACGGATGCACGCTAGTCCAAGTAGAACGGATACACACTAGTCCATGTAGAACGGATACACACTAGTCCAAGTAGAACGGATACACACTAGTCCAAGTAGAACGGATACACTTGTCCAAGAACAACGGATGCACGCTAGTCCAAGTAGAACGGATACACCTTGTCCAAGAAGAACGGATGCACGCCAGTCTAAGTAGAACGGATACACTCTAGTCCAAGTAGAACACATGCACGCTAGTCCAAGATGAACGGATACACCTTGTCCAAGAAGAACGGATACACGCTAGTCCAAATAGAACGGATACACGCTAGTCGAAGTAGAACAGATGCACGCTAGTCCAAGTAGAACGAATACACCTTGTCCAAGAAGAACGGATACACCTCGTCCAAGAAGAAAGAATACACCTTGTCCAAGAAGAACGAATACACCTTGTCCAAGAAGAACGGATGCACAGTAGTCCAAGAAGAACGGATGCACAGTAGTCCAAGAAGAACGGATACACCTTGTCCAAGAAGAACGGATGGAATATATCAAACAAGCCCGGCCAAGCAAATTAATATCACTGAAGGGGGATGGTTCATTGGTTTGTGGTTTTATACTACATCTTGATCTAGTTACCTAAACATCAATCCTTTAATTTAAATAAACCGGAGTGTTCAGTGCAGTGGGATACTTGCCCAAAACCAAAAGATAATTTCAAAAGTCGTGCAAAAACGATTTTTTTAACAATGTCCATTATCCATATCTTCCAAAACATTGTCCATTATCCATATCTTCCAAAACATTGTCCATAATCCATATCTTCCAGAACAGTGTCCGTTATCCATATCTTCCAAAACAGTTTCCATTGTCCAACTTCTAAAACAGTGTCCATTATCCATATCTTCCAAAACAGTGTTCATTATACATATCTTCCAAAACAGTGTCCATTATCCATATCTTCCAAAACAGTGTCCATTATCCATATCTTCCAAAACAGTGTCCATTATCCATATCTTCCAAAACAGTGTCCACTATCCTTATCTTCCAAAACAGTGTCCATTATCCATATCTTCTAAAACAGTGTCCATTATCCATATCTTCTAAAACAGTGTCCATTATCCTTATCTTCCAAAAAAATCCAATTTGTACTTTTATTTCAAGAAGTTTCCCTATTTCTCCAATTTTGTAAAGAAGCAAGTATATTTACAATATACATTTATTGCATGATATCTGGCAGTGCAATTCCAATAATTCTTCCTAGTTCTAATATCAGGCAAATAATAATCATTGTGTAACTGGAATAGATTTGGACACTTGTTCTCAGAAATTATCAGTTTTGCGAAAATAATTTTTTTTAATTCAGAAAAAAGTTAAATTTGAAATTTTAATATGTTGACGAATTGGATAAAAAAATTTCGTCCCCAGGACATGATCGGGTTGTTACGATCAAATCTCGGAATTTTTGTATTGCGAAAGTTTGGTGTTGTCTGGGTTTATATCGACAATTTTTTTTAGTGTAACTCAGATGGTTGAAAATTTTTCTAAATAAAATAACTTAAAGCTGAAAATGGTCCAAATTATGCATTACATGTTCAAAAATGATTTAGACGAAAATTTTTAAAAATTTTAAAATATAATATGTTAAAATTGTTGAAAATTATCATAAATTAGTGATTAAAAGTATATAAATGTTGTGTGGACTGAGGTATGATTTAAGCTGACTAGATCAAAATCAAATAACTGTATGACAAAATTATTGTATAAGACTCTATACGTATTTTACAGACTGGCATGTTCGATTCACAACTATTACTATACAGCTTTCGCTGATCCAAGGATTGATTATTTTCAACCGTGGTTTCTCTAAAAAGAGACAGACACATTTCAGTAAATTTAGAACATTTTACCAACTTGAACGACACTAGATACAGCTCCACATTATAAATCAGATAAAAGTTTAAAGAGAACCGTTCCCTGTGATCTTGCCAGCCAATACATTTGCTGAATAAAACGTGCCATGGGTCGGCTTTACACTTGGTAGTCGAGACTGGACAGTACGAGTGAATTGTTGTACTGGCTAGGATCATGAAATAACGTCTCCAATCTGTTTAAGAATAAGTCAGATGGGAGGTAAGTGGCCAGGTCGTCTAGTGGGGATGTGCCTGCAGATAACTGGAATATTCATGGATTCGGAAATGGAAATCTACAGGTTTCAACATTTTTCCATTTAAATTCAATTAATTTTCTTTATATCAGAATATAGTCAAGGGGGAATCATTGAAGCATTAAAATTATGAAAAGAAACTCAACACTCGTCTAAAACTTCAGAATTCTAATTTTCTCATCTCTATATTTTAGCAAACTAACGTAAATATTTTTGATATTTCAACCTATGTATTAATTCAGCTATGACTGAACAGTCCATGTTCGAAATAACAAGGGTTTACACTATCAGGTTGCAAAGTTATGTGTAGTGATCAGGACATTGGAGTTTGTGATGAGTGTTCACGAGGATTTTATATTTTTGTTTAGAGCCTTCAAAATGTCTGACTCCAAATATCTTGGTGATCTTCTATGCCGGAATTCAAAGATCAGGTGAGGATCAGTATCTGTTAGAAAATATTTAGTAAAAAGATTTTTCCTCAGAAAATTAAATTATTCCCAAATTCTAAACCTTGGATTTTCTCGATTCTCATAAGAATCTTGACAAACAAAACAAATTTAAAAGATTTTCGCATTTAAAAAAAAATCTATATTANTATACCAAAACTAACGCAGAAAACATATATGCAATATATTTTTCAGTGGCCTGGATGCTTGTATGAAATCAAGTGAACAAGGAAAAATTGACAGGTGCCCAGTTATTTCAAAATTCTTCTGTGGATTTAAAAAGTAGATTTCCCTTACGGTTGTTAGTTTGCGCATAAGGAAGGAGTTGATTTAGACAACCCTGTCCATTCTGAAAAAAACCTGGTTGAAAATTTTAAAGATGCCTTAAGGTTTTTGAACAATATATCCCGATCAACACTGCTATGGTCGGCAGCTCCCGGCTCTTCATGGCTCACACCTGGCTCATCAAAATCCAAAACCCAAATTCATAGCTTATTATTTCTAGTACGTTCCTAAAATGATATTCCCAGGTTTCACGTGTCTCATACTTCATATGCAATATATAAACTGAGAAAAAACAAAATTCAAAATATTGAAAAACAAAAAAACAGAAAAACTAAACAACAACAAAAAAATAAATAGAACAATTTAGTAAAAATTAAATTATAAATGAGCCATTGCTTTGCCATGAAACAACTGAAAACACAATATTTATCAAATTGTCGATTGTTTACAAATGGGTAAAAAATGCATCATGACTGGTTGAAACAGATCCACTTATACAAATTGCATTAGTTTGTTATCAAAAGTCCTTTGTTAAAAGGGGAACTGAACTCTACATGCATGAGTCCAGTGCCCCTTAGCACTGAACCAACGCAGAAATTCCTTTTATTGTACTTTTTGAATTTTTAACTAAGACTTTATGTCCGGTCATTTTCTTGAACCTAGAATTCGAGTTAGAATCTCTTTTATTAGTAATCAGAACAGCATGCCCTGAAAAGCCACCAGTTTAATTGGACCTGAAAGTATTGTGTGCACTGGTGGTATGGATTCTATCGGATGAATGATACCGGACTTATGTATCCCAATAGGAACAGAATGTACAGCACTGTAAAACTCTGTCCTAGTATGAAATATTAACTATATTAAAATTTTACTTCGAAATATATTTTCTAACCGCACTAAAAATACTTATTGTAATTAATTCCCTTTCAGGGATTTAAAGGATTTTTTTCGGAGCTTCACTCTACATGTATTACGAAATAAAAATATTTGATTAATTAAATTCAATAAAAATCGCTTTTTTGGCAGCAAAGGTTGAAATACTGTCAAAAAAAAAATTAAATTTTTATTTTAGAGTGTAGTTTCATCCTGAAAATGGAAACCCTGCACGAAAATTTTGAGTTAATGTATTAACAATTTTCTATGAGGGCTGGAAATGACAGCAATTATTTACTAATATTAGAAGCAAGAATTGAATTTCATTTATCTAAATATAATTATCTATTTTTAGAACGGAAATAGAAGCTATGCTTAAAACTTTTGAATCTAAGGTAAAGTAAAGCTAAAAAGTATCAACTTTTATCACGTTTTCTTCAATGATAACTATTCTAATGATCATCAGCATTGCAAGGACTTTTATTATACAATCAGCTATTTTAATAACAAGTACATTTCACATAGGACTGATGTGCAAACTCTTGTATTGTGGATATCGAGATCAATGCTTGAGCTCATCATTTTGTTAATCTGCAGATTGATTTAATTTTTATTTGATATCCATTGAAGTGTCAAAAATTCAACTACAGGGTGTCCCACGAAAAATGACAGTAGCAAGACGCCTTGAAAGTGGTCTTTGAATTTGAATTTATTTGTAACACTTAGTCTTCAGTCTATTTTTACATGTATGTAACAAAATTCTCTAGTCCTTGTATTTCCAAAATGTGGTCTGCCTTCTTTGTGCTATCAATATTACCGGAGAAATTAAGAATTTCGGTCAGATTTAAATTTTGCTAAATAAAACCAAAATTGTTGAAATCTAAGCAAAATTCTTCATATCTCAGGTGATATTGAACGCACAAAGCAGACCACATTTTGGAAATGCCAAGACTAGGGCTGTTTATAGTGATTATTAATTCTAGAATTTTAATCCTAAAATTAGGTTCAGGAATAAATTTCGGAGATCAAAGACGACATTAAATTCCTCTTGCTACTGTCATGTTATGTGGGACAACCTGTATAATCAGTGTCGTTTGCCAAAACCGAACAGCCAATCAACATTCAGATAATTCTGCGCCCAATCAATTAGAGAAACTCTGTTTGGAAGAAACCCTGCATGCAATGATATACAAATAAGGATAAAGAAAAAATCACAACTGATACCTAAATTTAGAGTAAACAACACAAGAGATTCCACTTCTGTACATTTCATAATGCTCATTGCTCAATGTTTACTATTTAGGGAATTTATCATGATGGAGAACTTTGAAGACCCTAGAGAAATTCAAAATTATATGGACGGAGAAATTTGATAAACCGGCCCGCAGAATTTATCATGACTGAGAACTAGCACCGGATAAGATATGAATATTTATAATTTTTCAATTGTGGTTTCTCTACAACAAAAGTGACTGCAGTTGTCTATATTTTCTATCTAAAAAGTGATAATTTTTCCATTTGCGGTTTTTTAGTTATTAGCGGATATCTAATCTACTCGATCTACAGAAACCGTAGAGAAACTCGTTAGAATTAAATTTTTTTTTTAAAAACAGAAACCCACTAAATCTAGTTTCCTCTATGTTTCTGAGATGAAAGTTTTAATTTTTCTTTTTAAAAAGAGCTTTTCCCAAAAAAAGTAAAAAATGTTTCACCCTTCTAATTAAACAATTTTTTCAATAAATGTGCATGTCGGTGATCAAAGCTTTGCAAAAGAATTTCTTTTTAAATCTTAAAATTAAGTGAATTTCTTCATTTAATGAATTCAACAATATTTACTATCAACCTAGATCTTTCTTTGTGTACATATTTAGGTTTGAAAATATATATTTATTTAGAATAAACATTAATTTTTAAGTCTATTATGTGAAATGCGCGAAATTTAACATGGGCTGTACGCATGAAATAAGTTTAAATAATAACATTTTAAGAGAGGCTTTAAAAGATAAATGAAACATCTTTTAATTACAATTAAATGTAAAAATAGGTCAATATTTTTACATTCACATACCAGGAATTGAGCGTTTAACAAAAATATAAAAAACAACTGAATTTTAGGGTTCAGAAATAAATATTTTTTGTTGTAAATTATGGACCAAATATGACTTCAATAAATGTGGGACGCCATAACCTTAATTAAAACATAAAAACAGAAAACAAAATTATATTAGAGCAAGAAACATTTAGTTTTTATTTTAGGAAACGCTAAAAACTGCTTAACAGTGGCTGGAGTGAATAATTCTTCAAACACGCCCCGGTCATTTAATTTACTTACTTCATGTTGGAAGGGGACAGAGGATTTATTCACTTTTGCGCACAGGTTAAATAACTAAAATTTATTTACATTACTACATTTATCTGTACACTATACACTGTACAGATTCAATAATTGTTACAATGTACAAAAAAACAAGAAGGGTTTATAATATTGGCACTTAGCGTACTGGTCTCTGGTGTACAGGTTACAGGGTACACTGTACAAGTTACAGTGTACAGGTGTACATTAAACCTGTATTTAAACAGTTTAGGGCAGTCTGAACAGTGAACAAAGGTATATTAGGGTAGTTTAAGGAATGGAGTTCAAATAGGCCGGGGGGGACGGGAGTAGGTCTAGATTTATTTAATCCGACTCCTCTGATAGATATTCTCCTTCTTCTAGTTCAACATCTCCTCTATCTTTACTCACAGCTCGGGATCTTATATTACGCACAACCTTGTTTACAACAGGAGAACAGGACCTAAAAGTACGGACAGAATTGATATTTTTAAATTGTTTCTGTTTTAGACCACAAGAGATAAAATCTTCAAATATTAAGTTCGTAAAAAAAACAAGATGTTTTCTGAAATTAACAATTTTTAAATGACGACATAATGAAAACAAATAACAGAAAAAAGAGATCAAACAATTTTGTAAATATTTATACAAACCATACCTCCCTCAAGAAATGAAGATTTGATCACGTTTAATATAAAAAAGCTTAATAGGGTAAGATTGAGAATCATATATCATTCCATTATCAGTAAGGTTAGAATACGACATTTATAAATTCTTTTGATGTCTCAGAAGTTCAGGGTTTAACTGTACTTAACATTTATTTTACAAGATGTAATTAAAACCAAGCAAGATAAAAACCTAAATGTAAATGTGTTAAGTTGAGAAACAAACTAATGTATGAATTAGTGTGAAAACTACAAACAAACTTGTTAAAACAAAAATAAGGTCTAATTAGTCTGGTGGGTTGTGTACTTGATAAACCCAACACATTACAGGGGTAAATAATTTCCTTAAAGGGACTGTTCTTGTAAGTTTGAGGAAACATAAGTATAATAACGGTAAAATAAAAAAAATCGAACAACGAAAGATTGTTATATCTCTTCTCGGGTCAGTGAGAAAATAGTTCAGATTTATTTAACGTCCTTTTGCGTTATTTCCCCGACAATGTATATATATACCACTGCAGGGGAACAAGGTTATAATTATTCATTAAGACTGAAAAGGTTTGAATAGAAACCAATCTTAGATACATTAACGACCAGTAATTGGATTTTCATAACATGATTCGGTTAGATCGAGAAAATAATATTCAATTCATTTTCTAGTAAAATAAAATTGCGTCATAATGCAAATACGGCACAAACAAAAAAGGGGCATTTTTAATATCTTTTTCACAATTTGATGAACAGAACCTATGATTCACCTAATTTACTTTAGCGTGAGAATAGTTTTTGCCTTCCAAACATCAAGAGGGGGTCCTTTGTTAGCTAAATTCCATATTTTTTATGCAACGTATTTAAATAAGTAAAAATAACTTAAGTTCTGTAATTCTTTATCTAAAAAATAACCCCTGGATTAAAAAAACAGGGGTAAATGATTTTTGATGATCTGATGGAAAATTAAAAAATTGAACATCTAAAAGCAAGTTTGTTAATCCTGAGATGGAATTTAAAGAATTTGAGCCGTGGTTTAAATCTGCCAAACCCCGGTTTAAATTAAGCGCCGGCTTAAATCTTGAAACATTTGATACAATTTTAAGTGGAACCAACCACATTTAAGCCGCGGCTTAAATTTAAACCGCCGCTCAAATTCTTTAAATTCGGCCACTGCTCGCCAAAAAAAAACCTAAAAACCAGTTCCCAATTCAGTGACGCAAAGTCGAATAATTTAGATATCTCTAATTATGAATTCTGTTGGATCAAATAATCTAAAGAAATATCAAAGGTTTGCAACATTTAGGTTTGTAACATAGACTCAATTCCTTCAGTTTTCTAACTTGGGGGGACGTAAAATGATCTTCAATATCAACGTACCTACTGGTCCCTGAGTTCTTATCTGAAGATATTCTTCTCTTCTTTTCCTTAGTTTCCAGTTTTTTAGCCACTATTGTTTCTGGTTTCCTAGATTTCTCCTCTCTGGTGGTAACTCTACGAACTGGTTCCTCTATGACTCGTCTCTGAGGTTCTGTTGACCCCTTGGAAATCTCTCTTGAGCTAGGTTTCCGGAGCTCAGCAGGTTTACGGGATTTGTCTAGAACCCGTCTATACGAGGAATCAGAGTCCGGTAGGTCGTCTGTAGAGATATCCCGTCTAATCTTCTTTACTCCGGGTTTAGAGTTGGACTGCCCTACTGCAGGTTCAAGTTTCCTCTTCTTCCGTTCTTCTCCTGATACAAAACAGTATTTAATTTACATTAGTAGTATCTTAGTATTCAAGTATTCTAGTATCATATTCTGAAGCAGAAACTATTGTGTTGGATATCCAGGGTTAGCCGGTATTGCAGGGGAAGAATAGATGCAAGACACAAGTTAAAAATATCCAACCCAAAACTTTTGCCAACATGTAATATAGTATTTCTTAGTATCCAGGTAACAAAGAACCCTTGTATTCTTCATTTAAGTATCCTAATATCCTGGTGTCATGATATCCTAGTGTATCCTAGTGTATCCTAGTGTATCCTAGTGTATCCTAGTGTATCCTAGTATATTCTAGTATATCCTAGTGTATCCTAGTGTATCCTAGTGTATCCTAATATTTCTCAGTGTATCCTAATATTTCTTAGTAACCTCCTAGTATATCCTGGAGTATCCTATTATCCTTCTATCCAACTATGAATTAATCTCTGAAACTAAGTTTCTAAGTTACTAATACAATAAGCCCCCTCAAGCCCAACCAAGCTTCAAAATCAGCACAAACATATCTCAGTTTATCAGTCAAAACTTCATCTTTCAAATCAAACTTTATTTCTCGATAAATCTTAAAGATTTAAGTAATATTATAAGCAGATCATATTTGTAAATGAATTGTTTAGGAAACAGATTAAGATGGAGCATAAGATTGAATCTCTTAAAGGGACGTAATTTCAAATGGCTCTCCAATTTATGAGTTTTATACTGATTTAAAACTGAACCCTTTAAACCATTTAACCAAAGTAACAAAAGGAAGATATTGTTTTTCTAATTTACACGGGATCAGACAAAGTATCGTTGTATATCTCACACGCTAATCTTGATCAGACAAAGAGTATCGTTGTATATCTGACACGCTAATCTTGATCAGACAAAGAGTATCGTTGTATATCTGACACGCTAATCTTGATCAGACAAAGAGCATCGTTGTATATCTAACACGCTAATCTTGATCAGACAAAGAGTATCGTTGTGTATCTGACACGATACTCTTGATCAGACAAAGAGTATCGTTGTATATCTGACACGCTACTCTTGATCAGACAAAGAGTATCGTTGTATATCTGACACGATACTCTTGATCAGACAAAGAGTATCGTTGTATATCTGACACGCTACTCTTGATCAGACAAAGAGTATCGTTGTATATCTGACACGATACTCTTGATCAGACAAAGGGTATCGTTGTATATCTGACACGATACTCTTGATCAGACAAAGGGTATTGTTGTATATCTGACACGCAACTCTATAAAAAGAGGGTAATCTTAAATTACATTTATAGCCCCTTTAAATCAAAATTAATAGTCCCGAAATTTAAAAAAAACTGACCTTGTGTCAACTTCTTCCGTAGATCCTCCTCTTCTACTGATTCATCTTGTTCTGTTTTCATCTTTTTATTCTTCTTCTTAGCCTTGGCTTTCTTCTTCTTCTTCTTCTTTTTCTTTTTCATCTCTGCGAGTAGTTTCTTGATGGATTCCTCGTCTATATCACTGTCTGAACTTGAGGAACTAGATGTCTCCTCTTCACTTGAACTGAATAATATCAAATATTACAAGAGTGAGATCGGAATTTATGAATATCTAGAAGTAGTTGAGCTAAATACAGATATTTGAACCACTTCTTTGGTGTAACCGACTTTACTATTGAAGCTTTGTTAAAATTTAAAGTAAACAAAAAGACTGATAAATGACAGCTACGCTTTGTTTCCATGTTTATTTGAATCCATACTATTTCAAAACTTAGTAGAAATCAGAATTTGAAATTCTCTTCTTTGTATTAATATAAACGACGACGTATCAATATATACGACGTCTGTTGATTCTACAACTAATTCTTATTTTAACTCCAAAGCGTGCGAAAAGAGTGGTCGCCGCAAAATAAAGCATAAATCCCAATGCACATTAAATATTATAAACAATTCTTTAAAGAAAATGGTTTAAAGAGATGAGTGGAAGGGACAAAATGAAGAAACACAAAATTACCTATTTGTTCTAAAATATCAGTGATTTCTCAAATAAAAAAAAAACCTAAATTAACTACCTTTCAGCATCAGATTCACTGCTCTCACTCTCCAAAATCGTCTCCTTCTTATTCTTCTTCTTGCTTTCAAGTTTCTTCGACCCTGTCACAACTTCTTCCGGTTTAGAACCTAGTTTCCGTTTCCGGCCACGTGTTCCGGAACTATCCCGGGATCCGAGAGCTTTCTCTTTCAAATCCGTTCTTGCAATCTCCTCTTTCAGCTTCGCTATTTGTTCTCTGCGGCTTCTCAATTTTTCTTCCTCGAGTAATCGTTGTTTTTCTTTTTCTTTCTCTAACTCGCGCGCAATTTTTTTATCCTCTTCAATTTGTCTTCTCTGAGCCAACTTTCTCTCTTCAATTCTACGAATTTCCTCATCTTGTCGCTTCTTTTCCTCCTCTTCTCTTCTTCTCGATTCTCTTCGCTCCTCTTCTCTTCGCCTTGACACTTCTCTACGCCGGTCATCTTCCATTCGTCGTGCGTCTTGTTTTCTTTTCTCCTCTTCTTTGCGTTTCAAACTTTTTACTTCTTCTATTAGATCTGGACCGGGGTTTCTTTTTGGTAAAGTTTGTTCTCTTCTTTTTCTTCGTTCCTCTTCCCTTTCTCTTTCTTTATCTCTCTCTCTTTCCGCTTTCCAAAGGTTGTGAGCAATTTCTTCCTGTTTCTTCTGATCTCGTTTACTGGTTGGGAGTTTAACATCTAACTCTGACAATCGATCCCTACTACGGGAGCTTAATCTAGAATCCCGGGATTCTTCCCGTCTTCTGTTTTCATCCTTACCTCGGGCCTTTTCTCTATCTTGCTCAGAGTTTCTTTCTCGTTTATCCTTCGAAGATTTCGACTCATTAACCATTTCTTCATCTCTTCTTTTCTCCGCCCTAGAGTAATCATCCTTCCTAGACGATTCTCTGGATCTAGGTTTCTCTTCTTTCCTTGACGATTCTCTAGACGTATGTTTCTCACCCTTCCTTGACGACTCTCTAGACCTAGGTTTCTCACCTTTCCTTGATGTTTCTCTAGACCTAGGCTTCTCACCCTTTCTTGATGAATCACTAGATAAATCTTTAGACCTAGGAGTTGTATTCCTCCTTGGTGAATCTTTAGAACCACGTTTATCAGTTTCTTTTAAAGACGCTCTCTCTCTACTTGTGCCAGATGGTTCTGTTCTATCCTTATCTGGTGTTTTATCTCTTCCTTTATCCTTTCCCCTTTCAACAACCTTGTCACGTGTTTTCTCCGACGATTTCTCAGTTCCCTTCTTGCTGGCTTTTTCCTTTTCCTGCTCGCTTCCTTTCTCTTTCTCTTGAGGAGCTGCCTTTTCGTTTATCTTTTCTCGTTCTTTTCCTTTTTCTGGGTCTCTATCTTTGCTCTTATCTTGAGGCTTTACCCTCTTCCATTCAAATGCCTTTTCTTTCCCTTTCACCGCCGATCTTTCACTCGGATCGGATCCTTTCCGATCTCTAGAAGATTTAGAATCCTTCCTCTTGTCAGTTGAATTTCTACTGTTCCTGTCATCTGGACTTGTATCTCTGCTCCCCTTCCTGTAAACCCGTTTCTTTAGATTATCTATCTTTACATTTATCTTCGGTGCATTCTCGGACTGTTCTTCCTTCTCAGTAGATTTATCCTTCTCCGGGTCCTGCTTTAACTCTTGATCTTTAGTATTCTCCTCCGTTCCATCCTTCTTCATTTCTTCCAACATTCTCTTTCGAACAGAGACAGTTTTCTCTCCGTCATCCGCCTTTTCAGATTGTTCTTGGCGAACCACTGTCTCAGACGTTTCGGAGGAAACTTTCTTGACAGAAGATTTTTTCTTTGAGAGTTTTTCTTTCGTTTTCTTCATTTTCGGGGGAGAACTTGGCGCGTTCTCAACCACCTCGGAAACTGGAGGTTCAAAGTCTAGGAATTCATGTTCGTTTATCTCTAGGGTAAGTTCGTAATCATCAGTTCCCTTGCTTTTCTCAAGATCCTTCTTCTCATCATCATGATCATCATCATCATCTTCTTCTTCATCCTCTTCCTCCTCGTCAGATTCATCAGAGTTGTGTGAGCTCTTTTTCTCGTCTTCACTTTGAGAATCTTTATCGGACTCTTCTCTTTCATCTCTTGTTTCTTCTTCCTTCAATTTGTCTTCAGGTTTATCAATTTCTTCTTTCTCATAATCATCACGTTCATGTTCTTCTATCTGTTGGGATAGTTCTTGAGGTTGATTACTCTCATCTTCTTGAATTTCCTGATCAGAATCCTGACCAGATTCATCGGAGGGAAACCTCTCCGGACTATGCTCCGGACTCTTCTCAGCAGGTTTTACGGGAGAATTTTGTAATGTCCGTTCTGGAAGTTTATCATCTGTATGATCTGTCTGATCAATATCGTCCAGGAAACTGGTTATATTGCTGGTTCCCCTAAAAACATATAATAAAAATGTTGGTTCAAAAAACCCTGGTTTAAAATATATATAACTAGGCTTTAATACGCTTCCCGTCCCCTTTCCTGTAGATAATCTTAATTTTTAACTGTTGCTCTAAAAGTCGGCCATTTAAATCATTTTCAAATTTAATCTTTTTCTTTTCGAATTGCCGCATTAAGTAAAAAATCCAAATATTTTCCCGGATGGTGGTTGCATATTAATATATTTCGAAGAAAACGCTTAGGTGTTTTGACTTGAAACCTGGTGGTCCATTTTCAGCAGTGTGGGTAAGGTCCCACACAAAAATTGGGCTGGATCAGTTCAGTCGTTTTGAAGTTTATTCGATAGAAACGGACAGACAGACAAGCAAAGTATATTATATATAGAGGTATTAAAAGTTACAATATTTTTTACCTTGAGTTTCTAGAATGTGATCTACTGGAGGAGCTCAGTGAGAGAGAGGAATTTGCTTCAAAGTTGGCTTCACGTTCCAGGCTTTCATTCTCTTCTTCCCTGTCCTTATCTGAACCTGGAGACTGTTGTCTTGATCTGGGTTCAACAGACTCTTCAGCTCTGGACCCTGGCCCAGAGTCGGACATGGTTTCAGCTCTGCTAGACTCCGTATTTGATCCAGCTCTGGATTCAGGCCTGGATACAGGTTTAGATTCTGGAGATCTAGATCTTGAAATATGTCTGGGCTCAGGATTTCGGGCCGACCGAAGTTCCTCCAAGATTTGCAGATCTTTAGAATCTAGTTCAACTCTAGAATCTTGTGGATCTCTGTCCCTCCGTCTCTCCCTAGTCTCTAGGGGTGATCTGGTATATCTTTTATCTGTTTTCTCAAGATCTGCTAATCTTGAATCACGGCTAGATCTTCTATCGTCTGGTCTGTCCCTGCTTGCCCTATCCGGAGTAGACCAACTAGAACCCTCCCGTGTAGGACGGGATAAATCAGGAGAAGGGTTTCTATCATTTACTCCAGATCCTAATCTTCCTAATCCTCCAGGTCTGCGTCTAGTATGATCGTCTCTGGCTGGACTCCTCCGCATATCTGAACTACCTCTCCGTAAACCTCTTGAGGGACTGAATCCTCGGTGAACTCCTCTTTCTGGGCTCATCCTATCCCGGCCTGATCTGTCGTGTCCACCCCGGTGCATCATATCAGGGCTTCGTTGTCCTCTTTCCGTTCTATCATGAAAACCTTTACCCCGTCCTGATCTATCACGCTCTGTATTAGCGCTGGGTCTTTCTCGGTCTTTTCTATCCAGATTGCCTCGTCCACGACCTTCCCTGTCGCTACCTGGTCTTTCTCGACCTGCCCTTTCAACACTTGGTCTTTCCTGACCTATCCTTTCAGAACTTGGTCTTTCACGGCGCGTTCTCTCTGAACTGGGTTCTTCACGTCGTGTTCTTTCTGCGCTGAGTTTTTCTCGGCGAGTTCTTTCTGGACTTTGCCTTTCGAGGCGTGATCTTTCTTCGCTTAGTCTTTCACGGCGTCCCTCACGACTAGTTGTTCTTTCAGTGCTTGCTCTATCTCTACCAGATCTTTCGTTCCTTGATCTCTCTTGACCTCTCTCTCTACTTGGAGTTCCTCGGGACCGATCTAAACTACCCTCTGTACTAGAATCTATGGGTCCCTGACCAGTTTCCTCCTTCTTTCTTTTCCTCTCCTTGAGAAGCATTCTAAGATCTCCGACTGTATCTAACTGCTGTTTAATCTTCTCCTTGTCCCCGCTAGAATCGGAATTCCCAGAATTACTCTTTGCTCTTTCCTTAAAACCTTGAACAAGTTTCTTTAGTTCTATTCTAGATTCTTCCTTCTTAGATTTATCCGATTTCATACTGTCAGGCGATTCATCGGATTCTTTTGTCGGCTTGTCCTTATTTTTCTTCTTCCTTTTCTCTTTTTTCTCTTTAACAGGAGACGGGGGAGAAGAATTAAGAGGAGATGGATCTGCATCTCGTGAGACGGATTGACTCCGGTCGCCGGGAGAACCATCATCTCTCTTCTCTATATCTTCTCGCAAACTCCTAGACCCTGGTGGATCAGTGCGTAACTCAGGACTAGGGGTTCTTTTCCTATAGTAATCCCGCCCTGGCTCCCGAAACCTTTCTCTTTCTTCATAGTGAGATCTACTGTGCTCCGGGTGGCGTCTTGCATCGTAATCTCGTTCAAGACTTCTCCTAATTTCCCTTCCACGTTCTCTATCCCTAGGATAGTCCCTGTTATATCTTCTGTCATATCCTGCTCCTCTATCTTCGTACCGTCCGTCTCTTCCTCTTCCATCTCTATCCATCCCTCTAGCATCCCTTCTATCTCTATCCCCTCTTCCATCCCTCCCTCGGTAGTTTCTATCTCTGTCATGTCTCCGAGCAGTTCTCGATTCCTCCTCTCTCCTCCATCTCTCCTGTTCTTCGGCCTCGTCGTATTTATAGGTATTGCCTGAACAACAAATATAAGTATAAATATATTTATACGTCTCTATTAAAAAAAAACCAAAGAGACTTCGTAAAACAGAAGTAGGTTGAATTAATCAAAATCAAAAATCATTTACATGCATCACATTTTTATCATTAAAATATCAAAAATAAAAATAAAAATATATGTATAACTTTTTTAATATTAAAGCCCATTTGCAAAGGCTATTTTTTATTTTTACAAAAATAAAAGTCCTTCTTTTTGGGTTAAAAAAAAAAATTTCAGAAAAATGTTTCACCCTTATTAAAAATATTCTACCTTTCTGTGAATGAACTGGCGGGGGATGGGTTTGATAATATTGAGACTGAGAATAATAATCTGGAGCAGGAGGATGAGGATAAGGAAGAGGATAAGATGAACTGTAGCTAGCGTGGTAGTCAGCATGTGTCCTCTGCTGTCTGGTGGCCCCCACAGTAGATATAGTATACACCTCCTCAATACCATCACCAGTGGTGTCAGGGGAGGGATCCTAAATATAGATTGTTAATAATATAGTATACACATCCTCAATACCATTACCAGTGGTGTCAGGGGAGGGATCCTAAATATAGATTGTTAATAATATAGAATACACATCCTCAATACCATTACCAGTGGTGTCAGGGGAGGGATCCTAAATATAGATTGTTAATAATATAGTATACACATCCTCAATACCATCACCAGTGGTGTCAGGGGAGGGATCCTAAATATAGATTGTTAATAATATAGTATACACATCCTCAATACCATCACCAGTGGTGTCAGGGGAGGAATCCTAAATATAGATTGTTAATGGTGATGATTTAAGGGACTGTCAACTTAATTTCAAGTCACCCTTCAATTAAAAGTTAAAGAGTTGCATGCACTATTCGCATTGGTACCCTAAATACGCAAATATCTGAGCAACAATGAAGATAGAAATTATCTTAAAACGTGTTGAATTCAGTCAAACAATAATGTTCTCCCTCAGATTAAGGATTTAAGGGGACTATTGTAAATCGGCAAAAACTCTGTAAGAGAGGGTCACTTGAAATCACGTAGACAGTCTTTTAAAGCCAGGGAGAAAAATCAATATCAACTTTTATTTGAAAGATAAACCGCTGGTTCATGATTTGTACCAGTGGTGGATAGTTCAGCCGTTTTTCTCCAGTTCAATAAATTCAGTCCCAGGAGTGGTTAATGCCTGGTCAGGATTAATTTAAATTGTCATGGTTTTATAAAATTTACAATACATGAGACAAGTAAGGATATTGTATAGTACGCATAACTCACCTTAGTGCCTTCCTTCATCTGACTCGGAGGCCGAAGGTTAGATGAACTAACAGCTTCTTCTCCGGGGGAGGACTTCTCATCATTCAACGGGGTCGGAGGATCCGTCGGAGTCGGGGTCACACCCTCTACCCTCTCCATCCCTACACCTGACTTAAACCCGGGACTCTCAGGGTGCTGTTTCTCCGGGGTAGGAACAAACCTGGTCTCCTGGGATGGACTGGAGTCGGATAACCCCGAGTTCGGTCTGTCAAGCTCTGTACAAGGGTTGGATACTGGTGTATCTGATACCGGTAAATTGTCTGGAGAGAGAGGATTATCAGTCAAGCTTTTCAGGACAGCTTCCTCTAGTTTTCTGGTATCTCGAGCTAGATTCCGGATAGGGGTAGAGCGGGGGACATGCTTTAGGGGCTAGAAACAGAATAAGATTAATACTGAGAAGAAGGGGGGGGGGGATTATGAATTTGGTATATGTAGGACCTATAGAACCGTGGACTAGAAAAACGACATCTAAGCAGTCTTAAGTGTTTTTGATGATGTTATAAAACAAGTAACTAGTAACTTCAAAATCAAAGTATATAGTAAAGTCTTTCACAAAATGAAGACTTTATACAATACACATGCCACAGAACTCCAGTACCCTTGGGGAAGGGGCACTGGAGTTTCTGAGCTTTTAATGTAGTTTATTTGTACCTGTCCTACTAGTTTAGCAACCTTGATTCTAACTCCTAGAGCTGGAACTATTATTTGTACCTGTCCTCCTAGTTTAGCAACCTTGATTCTAATTCCTAGAGCAGGAACTATTATTTGTACCTGTCCTCCTGGTTTAGCAACCTTGATTCTAATTCCTAGAGCAGGAACTATTATTTGTACCTGTCCTCCTAGTTTAGCAACCTTGATTCTAACTCCTAGAGCAGGAACTATTATTTGTACCTGTCCTCCTAGTTTAGCAACCTTGATTCTAACTCCTAGAGCTGGAACTATCTCCTCCGGAGACTGATTAGTTTCCTTGCACAGCGGGCAAACATTATCATTCTCAATCAAATATTCCCGGGCACACATATCACAAGCTGCTCCTGCACAGCAGGGGAGCAGTACAGCTGACGTCATCATTTCTGTACAGACTCCACACAGTACATCATCATCTAGTGTACTCTTCTTCTTCTTCGCAGTACTCTTACCTGAACATTATAAAAAAAGTAGAAAAGCTCGTCAAATTTAAAAGGACTGATTGTTGTTTTTATATAAGTATGTAATTAACATCGAATTTTAAAAAAAGTGGTAACAAAGATTTGAGCTTTGTTTAGTAATTGGTTCATCTGTTTTGAAAGTAAACTACTGAAAACACACACAAAAATATCAAATGAATTTGATAACAGAAAATTGTTAATAAAATTTATTACAAAATATGTATTACAAAGATACATTCAATTTTGCATATATCGTTCATTATTGATTATTCTTCTCCTCTTGCTATTTAAGATTCATGAAGCTGATTAAGAATTCAACAGTATATATTTTATCTAAATAATAATTTTCCCCCTGATCATCTCATTTCTTCTTTATCGCTAAAGGAAAGAAAACCTCTCATTATAGTGAATTCTATTTTTATAAAACCGCAACCCTGGTCCAAGTTTATGTGACATACCTTCGATCTGATCTGTCTCGTTCAACCAATCCATATTCTCCATCTTATTCTGACTGTATCCCTCCTTCTCTACCAAGGTCATCAGGGTCTGCCCTTGGTTGTCAATCTAAAACAGAAAAAAAACATTTGATTTCAAAATTTCAAATAAAATCCTTTATTTCAACACGCAGTGGAAAAGTTTACTTTGTTAATTTGTCTAGAGGTCATAACTTGTGTTATAAATCTCTGGCATTGATCTCCATCATATAATTACATATGAATTAATTGGTCCTCGTCAGACAGAGATAACATAAATTGAGGGTTCAAGCAATATACCTTCTAATTTATACCCACATTGGATATCGAGATCAATTATTTCAAAATTACCGACACTCCACACATTAGTTATCCTACCTTTGGTCAGGTTAATTTGATAAGACCAAGACCCCCCCCCNAACCAACCACACCCAGAATTTGTCAATGTTTTCCAATTTATAAATAGGAAGGTCGGGAGATGAACCCTGTTCCAAGAATTCTATTACCGAGAAAGATTAAATGGACATATTCTAGTTAGCGCTGCACCTTTATTGATTTAGAAGAATCGTCTACGTTGACCAGCATGGTTGCCGGTATACCAGCTGCTGCTCTCTTCTCTAGTCGAGGAGCTTCTCCAGCTAATGGTCTGCTTGCTCTCTGTCTCCTGCAAAATAAAATGTGTTAATTGGTATTAGTTTATTTACATGATTGCAATTAATATTTATTTCTATAGTAGTTGTATAAAGGTTTTTATTGGATAATATTTGGGTTTGTCAAAGTACTTGCTTACAGATTTATCTGCTTTGTTTACAAAATACATGGGTTGTTTGATGAAATAAAATTAAATTTAACATTTTTATTCGACCTGATTCTTTCCCAGTGTTCCGATCCATACTCATTTCCAGACTGGGCAATAACCTGAACACGGAGTTTATACTACTAGAGCTAGATTTTTATTCAGTAAGCCGAGCTTAAGTTCGGTTATTTTCATATAAGTTTGATTATCCAATCTTTGTTCTTAGTCTGAAGATGCAACATCACTTATTACACTCAAAGGAACAAACAAATTAATAATTAAATTGTATAAAATGGTCAATATATATATTATTATCAGCTGACAATCCATCATTCAATGAAATAGGGATCGGCGCTCCTTGCCATCGAAGTGTATCCATAAATTTTAATGCAAATGTCATTGTAATCATCCATAGTACAACATCAACCGTCCAAATAATATTTCTGAAGAATAAATGTGAAAATATCCTTAGTACTATGGTTTAGTGTTCACAATTGTTTATTAGAAACCGGTTTTCTACCTGCTCCAGACGACCCTCCTCTGAGGTGCTCGTAACTTGAGAGGAATCAGAATTCAAGTCTTTCACTCCAAGATTTCTAAACATAGCAATATTAAAATATTTATTAAAATCATCTTCATTTTTAATTTTTCTTCTGATCACACTAAAGATATAATGATAACCATGAAGAAGGTATAATTCCGATGATCATAATTTTTCTAAGAGTAACAGAGCTGTGAACTTTTGTGTAAGATACTCATAAACCCGATCACTTGATCTCGATATCCAATGTGGGCACGTTTAATTTGAGAATATACATAAAATTGTATCATTCCATATCTTCAATTTAGTTATTTCTACCCTGATCAATGCTCCCTTCGACCACTGAATGGATACAATTACCATCCCGGATATCAAATAAAGATTAAATTAATCTGCAGATTAACAAAAGATCAAGATTAAGCATCGATCTCAATATCCACAATAAAGAGTTCACAGCTCTGAGTAATTTTAAGCTCATTGAGAAATAAATGATTTTTTTCAAAAAAATATTTTTACTTACCTTTCTTCTCTCCAAACCTTCTTTTCTCCCCTCGGCATAGGTTTCCTGCCGACTACTACAGTTGTTCCACGTGGTATTGTGGATTCATCATTATACTCCTGAACCACAGAAACTTATTCCCACCATTTATGTTTGGAAGTTGGGCATTTAGTTCCGGTCGTTAGTTTTTGGACTTTTATTAAAATTTTCAGAATTTTTACTAATCCCAAAACTGCTTATTACAAAAATTTCCTTTTTTAAACTTTAAAAATATTAACAATATTAACCCAGGGACAAGATATTTGCATCAACGAACTAAAAACAAACCAAAAAATCAATCATTATTTTGGTTCGTTTCTAAGTTCGTTATATCAAATATATCCTAAAATTTGTTTAGGTTTCTGAAAGAAAATGTTTAGGTTTAACAGTTTTACTAGGGTTCCCAACGCAAGTGGATTTTACTTGCGCCAAATTGCGAGTCCTGCAAACTCCAAGCAATTGCGCTCAATTCGAGAACAACGGAATTCCGATTGGAAACCCTAGTTTTGGCATTTGGAAGATTTACTTTATAAATTAAGTGGATTATCTTTACCTCTTTTGTTTGCGGGTTTGCAACAGTGAAATCGAAATCTGTGGAATTGTTAAATTTCTTTTGATCCAGTATAGCAAGCTTTAAATCCTAAAGAAATATTTCAGAAATTCAACTGCTATTTTATTTGTATTCATTATTATTAAAGTTTCTTTCACATATGTAAATATAGAATATTACAATTGTTGTCAAAAGATACATAGTAGAAAACAAATCTCATTAAATTCATGAATCTAGACAACTAAAATCATTAACAGAAAAATATATGATATATCTTTATATCTAATCTTTCAGATGCAGTAATAATCTTTCAAAAATAATAATAAGTAAAAAAAAATCTATATTCAATATTGTATTATCTTAACAATATAATTCTTCTCATTAGCGTTGGACTCTGAATACATTTTGTATTACCCAACCTCAGATTGTAAATAATGGACCAATCCCTTTAATCCTTTACCTTGACACTCATCTCCATCCCGTCACACCGGACCGCAGACGCGTCCTTGTTCTCCACACCGAGCTTGTAGAAGATCGACATCTTTAACGCCTTCTTCTAAAAGCAATCAATCAAACAACTCATTTAACTAAATAAATCGATTAGTCGATCAACCAACAACTAGGATTAGATAACGGATAAATCGACGAATTTCTTTTTAAAAAAACTAGCCTTAGAGAGCGCTTCGCGCCCATCTTCTAAATTAATTGTGAACATGTTCTCTTTGTGTACATCGTAAAACAAAACAAAAATAATTCGCGGATTTTCACAATACCAACCAACCAACCAACCAACCAACCAACCAACCAACGAACGAACCAACCAACCAACCAACTAAACATCTAGACAACTAATCAAACAACCAGTGAATCGTAGAAAATGAAAGAAATTACAACAATCTGATTGATTTGAGTTCCTGAGAAGTTCTGAGTTCTCTTTAGTTATTGCATGGTATGCTGCAGTACTGGATATTTCTGCACCCTGCTCCAACAACAAACCCCCGGTAAATAAAAGAGTAAGGATTAGGGGGGGGAGGGTAAATCACTAGTATTATGGCTTTAAAAATGTTGATCAGGTCCAGAATTCTGTTTTAAAAGCTATTTATGGTTATTTAGACGGAAAGTAGCGAAAATTGTTAGAATAGGTAAACAATCACATTAAAGGTTTATTAAGGTGCTTTGTTCCTTGAGATGATCGACCACCCTGAGCATCTTCAGACTTACTTCGTACACCATAGACTTGGCGTTCTTCGCCAGGGACATTATCTCCTAAGCAATCATAATAATTACAATACAGGGACATTATCTCAACAATCATAATAATTACAATACAGGGACATTATCTCCTCAACAATCATAATAATTACAATACAGGGACATTATCTCATGAACAATCATAATAATTACAATACAGGGACATTATCTCAACAATCATAATAATTACAATACATACAGGGACATTATCTCCTGAACAACAATTATAATTACAATAATTATAATTTCTGATTGCAGATACAAAAATTGGGAATTCAAGATATTTCTTAGCGCTATTCAAATTCAAAGACCAAAAAACTAAGGTTAGAAAATATATGATAAATTTAATGCTTGATTTCTATGGAGGATAGGACAAAAATAAAAAAGATAACTTGATGGACAGGGATTTGCAAGCTTTTGTTCCTTTTCTATTCTTCCCCAAAATTTCATTAATTTCCCAAATAATATTTTTACCCCTTAAGTACATTTGACGACAGATAACATGTGTGTTCCGTATCAGCTACCAACGTCCAATATAATGCCCTTGGTATACCTACAATTTATGCTACCTGGAGATCTAAAGTGTGTCCTATGGATTTCACAGGTTTCCTTGACTGTATACTGCAAGATCTAACAAATTATATATTAATGAACCAAAATTTAATATAGAGTTTGGAAAGAACACAGGGATAAAACAAAAAATTCAGAAAATAAAAATCTAGGCTTTCAACTTTTAATTGTTATTTAATCTGAAGTATTTTGTGTGGCAATAATTAATAAAAATCAATTCTGCGGATATACATTTTACAATATACAATTAAACGTAATACATAAATCTACCTGGGGTCATGTGAGGTCCCACAAAAAATTTGGACCCGATCGGTTTAATCCGTTTTGACGTTTATCGGTTACAAACCAACAAACAGACAGACAAGCGAAGTATATATATAGATTGTCCAACCTGAAGTTTAATTCTTCCATCTTGTCGAAAACGTATTGTTTCTCCAGAGCGTCAATCTGTCGACAAGTCTCGGAGCTGAATCTCCGGAGGTTTACTCCATCCTCTTCACACATCTGTAGCTCACGACCACATTCTCCAATCTTAAAGGGACTGTCGTTGTACTTTCAAGTGACTCGACATTTACAACGGTAGCCTTTAATCCTTTATCTCAGGAATAATGAGGAAAATAGAGAATACAAAATTTTCTCATTCATCTAAGATCAAACTAAGGTTTTAAAAGGTACCATTATAAATGGAACATGCTACTCTGTAAATGGTAGAAACCACAAAATTACTTATCAAACCCCAGCCACAGCCTCTTAAACAAAAAATAATTCAAACAAATGATAAAAGTAAGGATAAAGTGGCTTGTTTGACATTAAGTTTAAACAACCATAATATGTTTAATGGTAATCCTAGACTAAAGTCTCGAATTGAAAGTCTCTTGAAAGAAGAGAGTCCCTTAAATAAAGAAGAGAGTCTCTTAAATAAAGAAAAGAGTCTCTTAAATAAAGAAGAGAGTCTCTTGAATTTATAGTTTCTTGAAAAGATGATACCTGATCCAATAGTGTCCTGAGATAATGAAAACTTTTGTCCATATCGTCCGAAGCTTCGTTAAAATCTGTCGGACTGTCCTCTGTTCGAGGTGGGATGGGAACGGCCTCGAACTTTGCCGACCGTTCTTGTAACATCTTAACCGAGAAATCCCTGGAAAGTCAAATTTTAATCAAAACATTTTGTAATGATTCAAAATTTGAAAAGGACAATTAAGATTAGTATAAATTTCACCCTTGCAACCTATTAGGTTAATTTAGCTGTTTTGCACAAACTTCTTTTAATATCCAGCACAGGTGACATTGGTTCCAAACCAAAATTTGTTTGGAAATTACCCTGTAGTAAAAGCATTCATAGAAAAGGGACACTTATGGTTTTATATTAAAAAAACATAAGATTTCTGAGGCATCCTAAAACCATCAAATCTCTATAAAAATATTAAATTGTTTTTCTTTTGAAGAAATTTCCTGTGAACTGGATGTAATGTTATATGCAAACTCTGCACAGTTGTGGTCGATCCTATCAGTATTCAATACATATTTACAGTGTGAACAAGAAAGATGTAATGTTATATGCAAACTCTGTACAGTTGTGGTCGATCCTATATCAGTATTCAATACCTATTTACAGTGAGAACAAGAAAGATGTAATGTTATAAAGATGTAATGTTATATGCAAACTCTGTACAGTTGTGGTCGATCCTATCAGTATTCAATACCTATTCAATACCTATTTACAGTGAGAACAAGAAAGATGTAATGTTATATATGCAAACTCTGTACAGTTGTGGTCGACCCTATATCAGTTATATGCAAACTCTGTACAGTTGTGGTCGATCCTATATCAGTATTCAATACCTATTTACAGTGAGCGATCCTATATCAGTATTCAATATCAGTATTCAATACCTATTTACAGTGTGAACAAGAAAGATGTAATGTTATATGCAAACTCTGTACAGTTGTGGTCGACCCTATATGCAAACTCTGTACAGTTGTAGTCGACCCTATATCAGTATTCAATACCTATTTACAGTGAGAACAAGAAAGATGTAATGTTATATGCAAACTCTGTACAGTTGTAATGTTATATGCAAACTCTGTACAGTTGTGGTCGATCCTATCAGTATTCAATACATATTTACAGTGTGAACAAGAAAGATGTAATGTTATATGCAAACTCTGTACAGTTGTGGTCGACCCTATATCAGTATTCAGTACCTATTTACAGTGAGAACAAGAAAGATGTAATGTTATATGCAAACTCTGTACAGTTGTGGTCGATCCTATCAGTATTCAATACCTATTTACAGTGAGAATAAGAAAACTGTAGAATAGTATAACGAATTTATTGCAATAATCAAGTGCATTTGATGTTAACTTGTTACTAAGCAAATAGTTTTACTAGTAACTTATTAAATCCCGTATTTATTGATATTGGCCTGTTTATACTGTACTATTAAGTTTTTAAGTTGATTCCCAAGTTTTCTGGTTCTCAGTGTAATTCAAAAGTAAGTTAAAAAATACTTAACCTGTATTTATGAATGCTGAGGATGGCAGATAGTACATTATGATGAGGCGAGGATTCAGGGAGGACAGAGGGTATTTGGAGACCGTCCGGTAGAGATACTCCACCAAGACCTATTAGACTCTCAGCCACTGTACCCCTGAAGACCATGTTCACAATATCATAAAGATAGCATGAATGATAAAGTACACAATAGTTTCACAAATTATAGACACCACAAACATCGTGCTTTAATGTTACAAGAATATTTCCAATATACATCCAACATAATTTCACGCATTTTCTTCTTTTCAAATTGAGAAGTTACAGGGAAAAAAGACATAAAAAGCTTCTTACTTCTTTCGTAACAATTTCAAAAAATAATTGACATTTATTTTGCAAGATTCACAAAACTCTGTCGATTGCAGGGTATTATTTTTTCCCATAGAAAATAAAAAGAATATATCTAAATTGTATTCAGGGGCGTATACAGAAATTTATCCTTCCAGAGAAGAGGGGCTCAGAACCTCAGGACTCGTTGGAACCTAAAACCCATTCGCAAATCCTAGATTTCAATTAACTTCCCCAATGTATACACCTCTGATAGTAATTTCAAATTTCAAAATTCATTTCATTTGTCTTTGGACATCATCTACTTTCTAGATTTTACTTTTTGAACAGTCCAATTCTCAACTTTAAAAAAAATGCAGGAGATATGAATTAAGCTTACATTTCCCGTGCTAGTTTTCTTCTGACGAGTCCAATGTTGTAGATCTCCCTGTTGACCTTCTCCTGCAGATGGATGGCGTGGTCCAGGAGGAGAGAGTGGATTGGAACCAGGTCGTGTTTGATCTCAGGTTCAAGCACAACAACATGGTTCAGCTCAGGGTCCTCGGAACCACTGGACTTCTCTAAATTATCACTTGTCCCATCTTTCTCTCTAGTTTCAGACATTTAAAACAAGAGATTTTCTGAAAAAATAGGTTTCGTCAATTCGCCCGTTGTTGCACAGAAAAAGTCGGAGTTCAATTATTATTTTTAACTATGTATAATTGTTAACCTTCAAATAAGGTTTCAGGTTTCATTCCAATTTAAAAATTAAAGTATATTGTTAAGACAATTTTACACAGATTCAGAATATGTGCAGATTAAAACTCAAATTCGATGTCAAAATAATAGAATATTTGCGTATAAGAGAATCCGTGAGAGCTGAGAATGCGCGAAGTTTAAACAACTCAGTGTTTGGTTCAAGTAATCAGATGGTTTACACGTTACTACCTGCCCCTGGTTTTCAGGGTCAGAAAACCTGTTATAATTCAGGAAATAACTAAGGATATAAGGATATAAAAATATATCTATCCGTGTACAAAATGTCAACATGTCTTCAATGAAATCAGATGAAAAATACCGATTTTTTTCGCGCTGTACGCGCTGTATGCGTAGACCCCCAATACAGGGGCATTAACAAGTAGCAAATATAAGGTCATCAACCCCTCCTTTATTTTTTATTACGGATTGGAAGTTAATTCACGAATATCATAATTAATATTTTATGGAACAAGAACTTGAATTAAGTACAGTCTAAAACTAATGGTGGGGGAGGTCGAGATAAACGACAATGGTTTTGCAAGATTAAATATATCCGAGTTTAATAATATAACCTGCACTTTTCCAAATTTAGTTTTCACCCCGTGCATTAAGCTTTTAATTCGCAAGAACAGTAATTCAAGCCAATTCAAATTTTCAATAACCGTTAATTTTATCTTCCTTCGTTAATTATACGGATTTTGAGAGAAAATTAAAAAATGAAAGTTTGCATTCTCGTTTAAACCGTAAATTTTTAGGGCAGCTGCTTTCATCCCCAGAGTACGTCCTATGGGTTCCCTTTTAAAAATGTCACAAAATTTGGTCCAGCAGTTTCACCATATATATAAATGAGCGGAGATCTTTATTAGATATAAGCTGAGGCAATGCATTAAAAAAGTTTTCAGAGTTTTCAAATCTAGACCAAAGTTCAACTTGTACCTTCAAATCAAATCATGAGTGTTAGGGAAAGCTTTAGGCTCCACTCTACAGCTTGGAGTTTCAAGTCCTGACTGAGAGATGGGTTATCAATTTAATTCTTAAACTTAATAATATGATTTAACTTTAATTAAACCTTAAACAAGTACGAATGACTTCTAATTAAAAACTTTAATTTAATCTAATCTAAACAAATAGGCATTTATATATCTATTATGATTCCCTGTCGAGTCCCAACGAATGAACTCATGGACCTACTTATCCAACCGACCCTTAAGACCCCTTTATATAACCTTTAAATAAAGTTAATGAATAAGTTAAAACTCATAAACGTCAATCAACAAAAATAAAATAATTATCATATTATTAAAGTATAATAATATGATTGGTGTCGCCAAAAATATTGCTGAATTTATGACGATAATGTTTATAGAAAATGAAAACAGAGAATTGAATTGTTGTATAAATAGGAAAATTCCTGATACGTTCCAAAACACTATCCGATAAAATGATCCCAACCTTCAAAGTAATGAGCTAACCAAAGGAACCAAAGTGAGTTAAGGAGAAATACGAGTGTGTAATCAATAAATTCCCTTTTGTAAGAAAATAAAATAAAAACTTCCGCTTTCTCCATCCATTCTTGAATGATTTCTTATTATTTGTATGTCCCTTCGTTTAAGGCGTCTACTGTCTAACCGTTTAATGCAGCATTCTGAAAACCTTAATCACAAAACAATGGTGAAGATATCTTTCCTTTCCTATCTAGCCAAGTGACATTTGAAAATTTTTAAGAAATTTGTCACATTTTGGATAGAAAAGAAAAAAACATCTTCTCCGTTATTTCAGCTTTAAATTTCTCACATTTTTTCAAGATTAAAAATTTATTTTAAGAAAAAAATTATAAGTTTGTGTTGAACTGCTTGGTCGGTTTGGCCTGTTTTCCTTTTAACCTTCTCTTTTGAGATTTCTTCCCGGTCGCGTTACTTCTCTTCCCCTTAGTATCCTTCTTCTGTCTAGGATCAACCTGCCGGTACGGTCCCTTCACCCCACCGGGACGGCTGGCGCGCTTAGCCGCACTGTGCTTCTTCGCAACAACGTACTTGACGTCCTTTTTCTTTCCCTCGGCGGCCGCAGCTTTGTACATTTTGCGGATTTCCGTCGCCTTTTCTCTAACTCCAATGTCTGAGTTGTCGAGTAGGGCTGTGGCCTTCTTCTTTGCCTTGTCCATTCTCTTGGCCACCCTTCTCTTCCTTCGGGCCTTGGCTTCTACCACCTTCTTGATTGTTTTCACGTTCAACTCCTTCTCTCGCTCCCTTTAATACAGATCAGATTTATACTGGTTATAGGCGGTCAGGGGGCAGATACAGGGGGTGAGCCGTGGAGCAGCCGCTCACCCATGGAAAATTTCTCAACCCTGGAGCCAAATTGCTCACCCTTGAGTCTGAAGCTTTAAGGATGAACTTCGGAAAATAGAGCGATAATTATGAAATTCCAAAATCCAAATGGTTAAATAAATTCTATTATGCTATAACAGAAGACTAAAAAGTGTTCAATTGGTAAATATTTAGTTTTAATTTTGCGCTTAAAGCCTTAAATCAGTGTATTGACTAGTGAGATATGGCTATAAACATTGTTTAATAAACAATGAGCTAACAAAAATTGGAGAAAAAGGTTTATACAATAAACTGTTAAATGTTGAGGATGAACATTACAGAACTACACCTTAAAACTTCAATATTAGAAAAAATTAAAGGTTTATATTTTTTCTAGTGTTACCCCAAAACCAAAGATAATTTAGTACTAAACTTTAAGATGTATGTAACAAAAAAAACCAAACCAAAAAACCACCCGCACCCCCGTCCTCGATATCAAAAGTTTTGAACATACATGATGAAATGTCAGTTAAGATCAGACGTTCTCCCTGAGAAAAAAGGTTCACAATAACAAAAAATGCTAACCAAGCAAAACCAAATAGATTTTTGCTAACCTGTATTTCTGTACTGTCTCAGGATCTACATCCGGTCTTCTCTTCATATGCATCTCCTCCTCCTTCACAAACCAGTCTGGGAGTCCAGTATCCTCAAACATATATCTGTTCCAACCCGCATCCATGATATCCCTCTTCCTCTTCTTACTGTGCACCATCTGCTCTCCCAGCGCCAACTCCTCGCAAGTTAAAGCCTTCCTCTTCTTGATCTTAGGCTGGGGGACAACCTCGAACCCACCCTCGTCCATCTTAGCCTCATCCTCGTCCGAACTATCGGAGTCGGAATCGGAATACTCAGAGTCGTCTTTACCTTCCTTAGATTTGTTGAGTAGAGAGAATTCGTCGTCGCCCTCTGGTGTTTCGTCCTCACTACCGCTTGTGTAACCCGATTCTGCCGCGGGCTCCTCCTAAAATAAAACAAGGGGTAAGAACTAAGAATGAACCTTGAGGAACCACAATATATCAGGAGCAATACGCATACAAATTAAGTTAACGGGAATTACAAGTGAACCATAAGTGATCAAGATATACAAGTATACCTGGAGTAATCAAGAAAAAGAATATGTAATTCGGAATTGCAAGCGAACCTTCATCAGGAGTGAAATTAAGAATGACAAATGAACCATGAGTTACACTAAAAAGGCAAATGAAACTCGAGTAATTAAAACAAAAACATTGGAACCATTATTGATCCGGGGGGATAAGTGAATTAATTGTATCAGAAATTAATCTGTACCTGAAATACACGAGTTATTCGGAGAAAAACAACTATTGGCCAAAGAGAAGAAATTATTTTTAATAGAACAGTCCTAATTCAGTTTCAAATAAGAACAGATTAAAACAGTGCAAACCTTTTTTTTCCTGAGGGTTCCTCCCTTCTTGGTAACCGAGGTTACAGCTCTCTCTATCTCAGCGTCCTCAAGGTCGCTGTCACTGAACAAATATAAATGGTTAGGTTTCAATCCATTTAATTTGAGGGGTATTCATTTTTTTAAAGATTTGCGAAAAAGACTTTCGAAGATGTGGTGAAGGGGGTTGAAATATGGAGCATCAACTTGCACATATTTTCCTCTTGCTGCAATCTAAAGGTTAGATTTGCTTTCTCCATTATTAATAAAAATATTGTCATTATAATTCTTGATAAAAATTGCACTAGATATATACTGAAGATATATTTTTTTTATAATAATAGCTAAAACGAATCAGAAATTCATTAAAAAGACATTCGAATCTACCTGTCCAGATCGCCGATTTTCTTAAACCATAATTCGGCTTTTTTGGCTTTTTTCTCCTCTGTAGTTTCTTTGCTAAGGGATGCCAGTAAAGGGTTAGATGTAGGTTCCTAGACAAAAATTACATAAGTTATAAAATTGCAAGAATAAAATAAATCAACATTGATTAAAGGTCAGTAAGATTAAGTATCAAATTACTGCATCTAGTAAAAATATGTCAACTTTGAAAGATCTCTTAACTATCAACTTGACATTCTCAAAATGTGCTCATTACAGTATTTACCATCAAGCTCTCTTCTTAAGATTTTATTTTCTCTAATCCTTTACTTGTTTTTCCCTCTCACAATGAAACAAACCAAGCCTTTTTGGTGGAGTTATAAAAACAAACTTAAACAAAATCCCCATTCTATCCACTAGCATAGAGATTTACAAATCCCTTTAACTTGTTAAGTTTGCTGGGGAGAAGTTAAATTAAATACCAACTCTGGGAAAAAAATTCAGAAAAAATTATTTTCTAGGTCAGTAATAGAATTTTTTATACTAATTACCTTCGCTGTCGCTAGCAACGTCCTCTGGTTTACTGTCGAGAACATTTGTAAGATCATTTGAGCTTTTCAGATTAGTAATCTTAAACAATCCTTCCTCAGAAGCTGTCGGACCCTCGTCACCTGAAGTAATTAGCAGAGGTGTTAAAATTAAAAAGAGGGTTGTCAGAAAAACTAGAAAAATATAACGCTTTAGAAAAAAGTTTATTTAAACATTAAAAAAATAAGGGGAAATTTAGAAAAAACTTATTGCAGAACTAAAAGTTAGAGAAATATCGTTGTGCAGAACTAAAAGTTAGAGAAATATCGTTGATCACTGAGCAAGATTAAGCTTTACCTGGAATTATCATTTTCAGGTTGAGTCTTTCAATTCTCTTTTGTTTCTCCTTCGCTTCTCTTTTCCTCTTTCTTCTCTCCTTTCTTCTCTCTTCATCCTATTTCAAGAAGCGATAATTTTTTATTGTTTAACATGTGAGAAAAAAGATTAGATGAATTGAAGAATATGTATGTTGTAGAATTTAAAAAGCATTTTTACAAGAAAACTGCGCATTAACCCTCTTGATCCATGAGAAAATGCCGTAATTTTGAATAATTCAAATACATCTTTTATTAAAAATTAATATGATAAGTTTATGAGGAAGTGACTGGCAAAGGGAGGTTGTTAGTTTGAGTGCGCAGTTTTGTAGAACACAAAGTTTGGATTAGTTTCGAAACAAAAAAAAAGCGTTTTCTTAAAAGTGAAACTGCGGAATTTACTTTTAATCTCAACAAACCCGTAACTCCGACAATATAAGAATTCCTACCTTGACTACTCATATTGATTTAACTATTTAATACCTTTAACTCTGCGATCTTCTTGTCCATTTCCTGGAGTTCCTCGTCCTCGAGCTCCTCCTGGGTCTTGACGAGGATGGCAGGGATTTCAGCCCCCTCCCCGCTCTCTTTCTTTGCCTCCTCGTCAAGGGCCTCGAACTCCTTCCTGAGGGCGTCCCTCCACTTCTTCAGCATCCTCAGGTCTTTCATCCCGAGCACCTTCAAGTCTTTCACGCATTCAACGATCTCCTGAATCCATCGTCATTTTGAAAAAATATTCCAACAACCATTTTGAGAATTCTTTACACTTTCACATCCCCGTAAATTACAAAGGCAGCAAAAGTAATTTTAATAAAAAACGGAAAAACAAAAAACACTGAAAAATCTTTAAGAATGATCAAACTCTTTAAAACATACATCCCTAAAAACTCTGAAGAGAACCCCCCCCCCCCCCACCGCCCAGCAAACTGGACTCACTTTTTTTCAAAATCTTTCCTTCGTAGTTTTTGGATGTTTTAGAATCCTCGGTGTGTCAATGTTAATTTTGTTGCAATCATTTAGAATTTGAATATGATTGGCTCCCATGATGAAATCTGAAGCCTTCGCCTCTTTGTAAAGAATTGTAGCCCCGTCTCCGTATCCTTCTCTCGGGGCCTTCTTCTTTGCCTTCTCCGGGTTGATAATTTCAGTGGTGAGCTTCCTGTTCTCCGTTTCAAGATCGGAGAAAACATGTCTAGGGTCTAGAAACTTGGGATCTATCTTGTCCGGAGCAAGGTATCCCTGGCAAACTACGAATATCTCGGCAGACTCATTTCTGGAGGCGGCGGGTTTAGTGGCGTGGACCTTCTTAAAGAACTGTGTGAGGACCCAGATTAAGCTCTGGTAGTCCTTGGACCTGAACACCTTGGTGACGAACCAACCTCCCTTGCAGAGGAAGGATGTGGCGAGCTTGAAGGCATGGAGGGTGAGGAGAGACTGCTGGTAAGCGTCGTGAATCCAATTTTTACCAACGTTAGGAGCTCCGTCGTGAAGAACAAGATCGGCTTTTGCAGTTTTTAATTCTTTTCTGTAAAAAAAACATTAAAAAAGGGGGTTACACATTAATCTAGACAAATCTGTCAATTACAACTACAACAGTTTCAAGTACTTAGATAAAAGGGAGACAATCCTTACAAAAATTGTTTTAACAAAAAGTCCCACCTGAGACTCGCTTTGCATTTTTCTGTTGTAATATCCTCTGTGAGTGCAATACAGCCTGTAATAGGTTTAATAGGAACAAGATCTACTCCTACAACCAAACTAGACATTGGCATGTTCTCTCTACAAACCTGAAACATAAAATACAAGGATAAATTCTAAAACACATTAAACTCTCAAATTTTTTTATTTCTTTATATGAAGCTTGAGCTTGATAATAATGATTTAGTTAATTTTAAACGATCTCTTATTGATCAGGATTCGACAAATGAAAGATGTTTCGCTTTCCGTTCCAAGCTCTGATTACGTGATGATTTAGACGATGCTTAAAAGGTATTGAATCATAAATTTCTTACATTTTTTTTGGTGATATGTTTTTATTGATAGTCTTAACAAAAATAAGTAAGGGAAAAACAAATAAAAATGTATCTGTACTGTTTACAATTCATGATGTACAATACACAGTGCCCAATGTAAATATTACATTGTTAAAATTTAAATTGTACACTGTAACTACAATGTACAATTTACGTTGTTCACTGTGACTACAGTGTACAATTTACGTTGTACACTGTAACTAAAATGTACAATTTACGTTTTACACTGTAACCACAGTGCACAGTATACAGTACTGTACCTGCATCCATGAACCAGGTGCAGCACACAGATCTATACAAACACTGCTCTTCTGCAAGAATTCCCATTTTCTGTTAAGCTGAACCAGTTTGAACGAGGCACGAGATCTAAATAAGAAAAATTTGTTACATCAAAAACTAGCCGACATGGGCTTCTTTGACAATTGACCAATACCATTTCCCATCCCAGAATATTTTTTCTCTTTGTAAGTATAAGAAACGTATCTGAGAAGACCATCAACTGGGTACCCCCAAAACCAGATTTTGGCATCCCCAAATTACAATCGGGAAATTAATTAAATTTTCAGGAATAAAAAAATATATCTAAACCAAGGACTGGGGGCTTAGGGAGGGGGGAGCTTGACCCAGTTACCTGTAACCAATTTCCTTGGCTGCCCAGTAGGCTTTATCCCTCCTGGATTTTCCTGTTTTGGTCTTTTTCCCCATTTTCAATCTGAAATTAAACTTCAGAATTAAATTTTTTAAGAACCGTTTCACAGATTTGCTTCCGTTCTCCGAAAGGTTTGTTTCGTAACCGGATATACTCGTAAACCTCCTCCCCCTTCATGTTGTACAATTTCTTCCCGTCCAAGGCGAGCTCACGCAGGGCGATATTTCGTTGCATAATCTTGGTATAGTATTCAATACCACCACGCGCGTAGGAGTCAGATATGCGCGCAGTATTTTCGTCTATTGTAGATTGTACTCTTCTATTCAAAGTGTCCTGAAAAAAAATGCAAAAATATCAGAAATTTATTTTCTGTGCCATGGCCTCCCCCCCCTCTCTCTCTCGGAGAAAATGAAAATCTCTCGTGACTACTCTCAACAGTAATTTCTAGAATAGTATAGCTACTGGATTACCTTTTTCAGAGAGGGGGGGGGGGGTGCCGGATTGTTTTGAGATGGGAAGGTCAAGAAGGAGGGGAGAGGGGAAGGTCCAGAAGGAGGGGAAAGGGGGGACCAAATATTAGACGGAAAATATTAATTTAATTCCGCTTCGATATCCCTTGGGCTCGATGGTCATACTCTGCAGGGAAAACTTTGATTGAGAGATTAAGCATTGATAATCAGTCCTCACATTGGAAACACATGTGCCGACTTTGTACAATGATGTAAGAGAAGGCATTATTTATAATTTTCTACCTTTACTAGAAAATACAATGATGAAAGAGTAATAAGTACAGTTGAATATCCAACTCCTCGGAACAATGGAGGTTTCCTGAGTTAAATTCACAATCCTAAAAACTATTTTTGATCGAGTTGATTACTTGCATCAAACTTTAAGTTTAAAATCCTTTTCTATGCAAACTAATGTCGTAGAACTTCAAACTATGACTCTAAAAATCAATTTGTCAAAATTTGAATTAAAATCAATTATCATTAGGATGCAAAGCTATAAGGGTAAGAAAGTAGTGCTTAAGGCGAGAATTCATGGTTCCTTTGTTTAGAGGAAAAAGGCGGACTGGCAATGTTTTAAGTGAATTTAACTTTCCTAAATAAATCCATTTTCTGATTAATCATTCTAGAACTAAAGAGAGCTAAGAGCACCATGCTAGAATGCACTAAGGCCAGCTGATACTGAGGCATCATTTTAACTTTTTCAATTTCCCGCGCAATAGCAAATTTTTTAGCGTCTTTAGAAAGCAGTAGACCGTCGACTAGTAGCTGAGCCTCCTTTGAATGGAGCTCTTGTTCAGAAAGATGTTTAGCGTACCCAGAACCACGGTGTCCAAACTGCATACTTCGTAGCGGCACCTGAAGTACATAAATTCTTCCTCTCACAATATTTCCGCTTGAACAGTAATGCCGTAGAAGGAAAAATTATGAGGCTTTCGTGATTAAGTTTAACTAAAGGGAAAAAACAACTGACAATTTGCTTGTTGGAAGTCTCAATTTAATCTTTTTCTTTCAGTTTCAAGTTCCAATATTCTCAGGTACAGGGTGTCCCAAAAAAATGATCTTTAAGACATTGTAGCACTCGCCATGGTTCAATTTTTAAAAAATTGTACATTTTTAAAATCTTTGGAACATTCCCGATAGATTGATTTCAATTAGAGGTATGTAGCAGTAAAATTAAGAAAGTATTGACTGTTTTAAGTTTGTCATTTTGGCTCAGTTGAGTTCATGAATTGATTTTTTCGAATTTTAAAAATATTATGGAACTTTATTAGTGTCTGAAAAACATTCAAATCTTCTAAACAATCTTAAAAATGCGAGCAAGACCTTAGTTTACAACACAGGAAAGAAACTTCCTTGCTTTTGAGTATCACAAAATAAAAGGGTCACAGAAACTTTATGCCTGGTCTTATCATGGACTTTGGGTGCAAATTTATCAATGCAAGACAGCCTGCTTTATGTCATGTCAGAAGAGTTTATAAAAAGGCAATGGAGCTAGGAACAGTACTCAATGTGAATAGTAAGACAAGTCCTGGAAATTCATTCAGTGGAAGATCTCGACATGTTGCTATTAGAACTATTAGAAAAGGAATCTGAAAAAGAGGTCCCGTTATGAACCCCCCAGACCGCCGGCAGGCATGGGAAGCACCGTCCCACACCTACTCTAGCTGGACCTTTATACTCACAATTAGCCCATTGTCCGATAATAAAAAGGTGATACATTCCAGCCAGTGGCTCATCAATTAACTCCATTGGATGATTGGTATCAAACAACCCTTTAGGCGAAGAAAAGAGGTTACCCGCATTTAGACTGTTCCTGACAAGTCCATCCACCGCTCCAGCAGTGAGTTTATCTTTACGGTCCTTTTCAGCAGCACTTCTTTTGAGACATTGTCTCCCCCTAGTATCCCAGTGAGGATAGCCGTATCGCTCCGAGGCCTCCCTGTCATAAGGGCTCCTAGCCCTGTTGTAGACCTCTCATAGGCTACTGCTTGACAGGATACAACAACGTGATGCTCTGAAAGGTGGTTAACTATACCTTTACTTAGGCATAGCGGACACCACTTTGTGGCGGAGCCATGGATGTTTGGGCGCCTGTTCCCAAGCCCTGCATCCCCAGCTCTCAGTCTGTTCAAAACACCCCCTACCTTGCTATCGCATACATGTGGCTGGAGTTTGAACCAGATTTGGGGGGTTGGCATACAGTTGAGAGACACCAACTGTCTTTTCTGCTCCAGGACCCCTTTTATTGACGTTTGGATAAGTCTCTTCTTCAGCCTAGTTTTAGGACCTTCAAACACATCAAGTCCCAAATCAGCAACCAGATCCCCAACCATTCTCGCCCACGGGTCGTCACGTGCTCCGATCACCGCGTCGAATGTACCAGACAGAATAGGATCTTGTTTTTTATGCATGATATCCCACACATATAATGCTACTCGTTCCTTTATCCTGTCTCGCATTGGTTTAAACCCCGCATCCATGTACCCAGCTACCATGGCTGATGAACTTGTTAATTGTAGGATGAACCGTGCAACCTGGTGCTGGATGCTGTCTAGCTTTCTAGTGACATTGTTAGATAACACCATGGATTCCACCGCATACAGTATTGCTGGTATAGCACATCTCTCCCATAGGGTATGGGCCACAAGAGATCGATCTAGTCCGGATCTTGTGACACCCATGATAGTATTAGCGTAGTTTTGCGCGACACATACCATACGATCCTCTCTTGGCTTAACCAAGTTCCTGCCTTTGACCTGTAATTCCACTCCTAGATATTTACCCACCAGGTTCGATTCTAGGTCTGGCGTACCTGGTTCTATCTTCCAAGTATGCCCCTGTGTACCACACGAGAGTATTATTGTTTTCTCTACAGAGAGTTTCATATATACCCCATGGCAGAACCGTGAGACCTCCCTTAGCATACGTTCCATCCCTCTCACTTTCGTACGTGAGATAAGAACAAGGTCATCTGCAAAAAACAATGCAGAGATCACTTGGCCGTTGAAGTTAATTCCTTCCTTCATGGCATGTAGTTTCTCTCCAAGCCCTGCCATGTACAGTGAAAACAGAAGAGGTGACAGCCCACACCCCTGTTTAACGCCTTTCGTGAACCATAAGGGCGCCGTCAACCCTCCTTTTATTCTGACTTTAACACTATCATTATAATACATGGACTGGATTAGAGACTTGACCTTTCCTCCAAAGCCAATGGTGTCCAACTTTGCCTAAAGTAGTTCACGGTTCACTGAGTCGTAGGCTTTAGCAATGTCGCAGAATGCTATAGACACTGAATGACCTTTCCTCTTCGCCTTTCTGACCGCTGCCAACAGCATAAACACACAGTCTGTTGTTGAGAGTAGACGTTGATATGTGCAGGAGAGCAGTTATGGATGTAAGGAATAGAGCAGAAAAATGTATTACAAACCATGGGGGGCATTTTGAGAAGAAAGACCATAAACATGTATTTGTATCAATATTCTATATCATTTTGGTAATTGTAAACCATAATTTTCATATATTGAAATAAAATATGAATATGCAGTGAGTATTTTTTGTTTTACCTATTACAATGTCAATATCAATTTTCAACCAAGCCAAAATGACAAACTTCAAACGGTCAATACTTCCTAAATTTTAGTGCAACATACCTCTAATTGAAGTCAATCGATCGGAAACGTTCCAAAGATTTAAAAAATGTACATTTTTTAAAAATTTAATCATGGCGAGTGCTACAATGTCTTAAAGATGGTTTTTTTGGGACACCCTGTACTTGGTGATGGGGAGGTGTATTGAAATTCGCAATCGCGCGAATTACGTGAAGAATACCTCCTGTGGGTCCTTGAACTCGAAGTAGAACGGATATCCGACTATACTTGAATTACTTAGCTCCCCCCACCCCCTGGAATCCATCACGCTCATCACAAACATCTTCAACCTCTCAACCTCATTACTCGACATCTTGAGATCATGGACCACCTCATTTAGCACCTCGGACATCTCAGCACTGAAAATAAAAAAAAAAATCATTATTAAAGTTTTAGAAGCGATACAAATTTCTGTTTGGAATTATTTGAGGTAAAAATTATAAGTTAGGTATTATAAATTCTGAAATAGGGTTGAAAATTTTTAAAATCTAGATATTTATTTAAAATCTGATCTAATTTTTAAAAAGTAATTTTTATATGTAATTCCAAATTTAAAAATATTACAATTTTTGTATATGTTACGACGTTATGTTTGCAGATAAGGTTTTGAATAAAAAAAAATTATTTCAATTTTGAAAATACAGCCATACAAGAAAAATTATCAGATGAAATTTAAAAACTTTTGATTTAAAAAGATTTGAAGGATATGAAAGAATGAAAGGATAAGGATATGAAGAATAAGAAAGAATGCAAGGATAAGGATTTGAAGGAATAAAAAACTGAATAAGAAAGAATTGAAGAATAGGGATGTGAAGGAATGTAAGAATAAGGACTGAACGAATCATATTATAAAATGATAAAAATAAGGTTAAAACGAAATCTAAGAATAATTTTAAAAAGAAATAATGTTTGACGAAGAAGAGAAGATGAACACAACTGTACCTAACAGGAGTAGGGATGCCATAAGTTAAATTTTGATAATAATCTCGGACAAAATTTATAAGAACCGTGTGAGGTGCAATCTGGTAGGATGCGGACAGGATTGAACCAGATATTAAAAGGAACCCAGAAAACTTCTGACCAGTAGGAGTTGCCCAGAACGTGTAAAACCTAAAATAATAATTTTGTTCTTTCTGACAGTCAAAACTTCTACTCTTTCAGACAGTAATTTATATTATAACATTATTGTATTATTAGAAATTTATCGTTTCATTCTTTCTTTTCAATAATCTTGTAGCAGGGATTTATAAAACAATTTTTAAAAAGGCAATATATTCTTGATCTTCATTGCAGACATATTTACTATTGTCTGATTCGTTAGACATTTTCTAGCTATGCTTTAGCTGTGACTTCCTCGCCTAGCTAGCCTGGGAAATCGCAGCTAAATCACAGCTAGAAAATGTTTAACGAATCGGGGATATAAATCTTATGAATAAGTGAACAATTTTATTCGTTGCAGCTTTTTTCATTTAATTAATTTTAACAATTTTTATACATCAGAATTTGTTATTAACCTTACCCTGAATATAGCGAAAAGCAACTAAGACCTTAGCTTTTTAGTGTTAAACTATGAAGGTTTCTTTTCTATCGTAGTATTTTTAACTAATCTAGTAATTACTGATCAACGCAATGACACGCAATACAATCTCCATAAAAGAAAAATTAATAAATTTAACCATCTCTTACCTAATATTAAGAGGAAGTTGGCTCCTTGGGTTTACTTCCTTGGCCGCCGTTTCTTGAACTTTAGTTTTCAAATCATATTTTAAACTTTGATTCTTCTCAGAGGAATAGTTTCTAATTCTACGAAAAATAATGGTAATTTCCCAAATAGGTTATCAAGTACAATAGATGGCAACACGAATGTGTACACTTTCAGTACAGCTGTTTAAACGTCATAAGTGTCAACTCAAATTTTCTGTCTGACAAAACTATAAATAAAAGTGATATTTTTAGACTAAATCTAAGTCTGATTTTAAGCCAAATTTGAGCACTTTTTCGAAACTTCCACAAATCTCCCCTGCAAGGAAATTTCTCTGATCCTCTGCAATCCCATCAATAACTGTAAAAGAACCAAGATCTCCATTATCAACCTTTTTGTAAAATTCCAAAGAATAAGGCATCTAAACGTATTAGTAAACAAACAAGGTCATCACATGATACGAAATTTACAACAAAAATTTATGTTTTAATAAATAGTTTAAAAAAATTTTTGTATTTTTATTATTATTTTTGTTGTTGTGTATGATGATATAATGTGTATACTTCAGTCAATGTTTAACCCACCAAAACTTCGTCACTTTTAAAACAACGTAATCCAAATGATTTTTTTGTAAAATTCGTATAAAGTATGAGTGCTTCAAAAAATTAGAAGTCTAATTTTTTTAAAAAAATTATATGGCTTTAGAGATTGAACAGTAAACCTTTAATAACCCTGGAAATATTTACTTTAATGCTACTTAGAGAGCTGGGGCCTGGACGCCCCCCCCCCCCCTCCCTCAGACTGTTTAGTTTACATAGATATACAGTGAAAAAAAATTAAGCCCAAATGACAGTAAAAATAATCTACCCAATTTTGAGCTGTAAATATTTTTTACGTATTCCTACAAAGACGACGTTTATCTTCGCCAAATCTTGGAAATTATACCAACTAATTATAGGACATGTCGACTTTCTTTTTTCATTTGACACATATGACGTTGTGCGCAGTTGGTCGATTTTTCTGTTGCCATCTATTGTACTTGACAACCTATTTGGTAATTTCCTAGAGAACGATTTTTGGACCCCCCCCCTCATATCAATTTTGTACATGGATCTTACAGAAAGTGTCTCAACTTAACCTAACCCGTGGCCGCAGCGCTCGGCCCCCTAGCCCATCCTAGCCGCAGCGCTCGGCCCATAAAGTGTCTTAACTAACCTAACCGGTGGCCGCAGCGCTCGGCCCCCTAGCCCATCCTAGCCGCAGCGCTCGGCCCAGAAATTATCTTAACCTAACCTAACCCTAAATAACAAAAAAATAAATAATAATAAATTNAAAAATCGTTTTCTAGGACAGACCCCAATTATGCTGAGTTTCCGGCTAAAACGTTTTTTTCACTGACCTGTTAATTTGTTTATTATAAGTGTAGGTTAATCGTTTATATATTCTAGACGCAAACAACATGTTTTAGCTTTAATTATCTATTGATTAGATAACTTGTGTAGGATGACATCAAGCAGACATGTTGCTTGGATAATTTCTGACGACACAACTCACAACTCACAAGCAAAGAATTGAGAGTACACACACACTACACGGCCATGCAGTCAGAGCCAAAGCAAAGACGACTAAAACATAACAAAATGTTTTATGAAAAAAAAATTATTTAAAAAAATTATTTTACCTAGTTTGCATCCTTATATGTTCATCAAATATTTTCAACCTTTTGTAAAAGTTTCCCTCGACACCCGTAAATAAAAAAATTGAAAAGTTGGAAAAGTTCGGTTGGAGAAAACCTTGGAACAGGACGCGGCATTGTCATGGTTTCCTCCGCGCGCTTTATTTATGTCAAACTCAAACCAAATCTTGAACAATTGCGACATTTTTTGTATAAACTCTATAACAACTTCAATATAACTGTGATTGTTTATTATAAATCATTTTTATTATTTAATTATGTTTTCTACTTCACAAGTTTTTATTACAGATATTAGTGAAAGAGTCTCCTTTTTCGGCGGCTAAATGTCGGCGGGACGGTTGAAACGACGATCAAGTATCGGGTTCCCGGGAGCTAGACGGGACCCGGAATCTACTTTTACTGACGATCAGGTTTATAAGCTTTGAATACACGACATTAATTAAACAATTTATACCCTTGTTGCGACATGTTTCCAAAGCGAGAATTTTTCCTTTTTCACTTAGAGTGAGATTTTTAAAATTAATAATTTCCTAGAGAATGATTTTTTTTAACCGACCACCCCCCCGCATCCCCTCCTATCAATTTTGTTCATGTATCTCATATTTAACATGAGAATTAAGTTGGTCATGTGGCCCCGGCGCTCTGCCCCCTAGCCTGTCTTAGCCGCAGCACTCGATCCAGAAATTGTCCTGACCTAACCCTGAATTAATAAAAAAATTTGTTGTTGCAAATAGTTTAAATCTAGGTCATGTACAAAATTGATAGCGGTAGGGGGGGGGTCCAAGATCCTACTATAAGACGGTCGCGTCAAATTTAAATTTATTGATTAAAAGCCACTTCGAAAATTGTTTTTGAATATAAATCCAAAAGATTAGCAAGCAAGAGTATTTAAATTATTCTGTAAAATGTAGGATGATGATAATGTAGATAATCTATTCTAAAAAATGAAGGATGATGAGCTTGTGGAGAAATTATACTGTAAAATGTAGGATGCTTATATTGTGGATACATTATTGTGTAAGATGTAGGATGATTGTATCATGGATTAACTATTCTGTAAGATGTAGAATGATTATATTGCGGGTACATTATTGTGTAAAATGCAGGATGATGATATTGTGGATGAGGAAGCGGAAAGAAGAGAGCGTAATCTGCAGAGAAAACAGCAACTGCGCGCCCAACATCTTGATTCTCCTTCATCTAGTCAGGAGTCTAATAAGGATAGAAGATCCGTGGGAGGCATTTCAGGTTAATAGACATTTCCTCAGTGCCTAGGAAGTTAGGATCCATTTAATTTAGATGCGAATCCAAATCCTGGATCCGCACTGGGTAAAATGGGTCCGGATCCAGGTCATTTCTTTAAGATTTACAAAAAAATTTAAACAAAGCAAAATATTCAAACAAAAATTCTTTTTTTCGCTTATTTATTTTGTTTTTATACAACAAAAAAACTCTGTTTTCGTCTTCCGATTTTGTAATTTTAATTTAATTTAATTGTTCTGACTGAAATACTATATTATTAAAAGATTTATTTACACACATCATTATAAGCGCAGAGCACAGTTTTAAACGGAATCATAAAATGGTTTGAAAATTATAAAAAAAAAATTATTGTTAAATTTTCGCCAGTCAAGTTTTCTATCTTGGCTTTTTTAAATCTTTTCATACATTTACCATTTACAGGTTTAACCGCTACCCAGCTGGCCGAGCACTACAACAACTGTATCAAGCTGTCAGCTGAGAACAAGATCTCGACGAAGAATGCTTTCAACCTCCAGCTGATCGACTACATGGCTCAGATGATCAGGAAGAAGGAGAGTGATATGTCAAATTTCCAAGTTGCTGCTGGAACATTGGACGCTTCTACCAAAATATACGCATACAGGTTCTTATAGCTAGTCAGATATTATCGAAGTCTTCCATAATTTTACTTTAAGTAAACATTTATGGAAGATTAAATACTATTAATTCATATTTTAAATACTTATTGGGGATATTTAAGAAAAATGTTCTTTTAGGAGGAAGTAGAAAGAAATGTAGTTAAAAGCAGCAAATAAAGTCCATTTCCCCCGTTTTAAAAAACTTAATATTAACTATTTCATAACATAATATAAGGCCCCCCCCCCCACACACAATGTGTCTAATAGAGGAAAGTTTTATAATATAAAGTTTAAAACAGCAAATTTTACTACAAAACCTTAAATTAAGTATTTTAACTCTAAAACTTTTTCGGTTCCTAGGGTTGACGCCGTCTACGGAGATACACTGAAGATTGCACACGGACTAGGACAATCTAAAAAAGAGGACGAGGCTGAAAGAGAGAGAGATGGAGAGGATGGGGATAATGAAGAGGTCAGAATTTCAAGCCTAATGTTTATTTATTGTCAATTAAACAGTGACACTTCATTTAGAGAATAACATGCATGCTTAAGTAACTCATGAGTTTAGCAAATATGAACAATGCTATCACTATTTTGATCTTATGATGTTTGGCAAAAAACAAACAAAAATAACGTTCATCTTAAAACAGTTATTGATTTCATCATCTTTCATCTGTAAAGCGCGAAACAACATTTAATAAAAAAAATTAAAAATTTCTATTTCCAGGATGACCGGAACCAACCTGATAAGAAGATAAGAAAACGGATAAAACGCGCCAACACAGTAGAAAAAAACATTAAAAATTTAAACATAGTAAAGTTCGAACAGGAGTTCGACGTCGATCCTCTCTTTAAGAAGAAGTCGAGTGAACTCGATGGCGCTGTCGGCGGAAATCAGTTTCTTTCCACTCTTGAGGTTCGAGATGAAACCGGAGAACTTATCCTAGATTCAGAGGTAAAAATAAATATTGATATTTTAAATATTAAAAAAAAACATCTGCAGGGTCACCAACAAAGAATGAGACTTGAATGGCAACCTGATACTTTTAAAACTGTACAGCTATTGAACTTTACCAATCCTGCATTTTCGTCTCTCGCGTCTCATCTTTTGTGGGTAACCTTGTAGAATATAAATCAACGAAACCTTGCAAATGTGCTTAAACCTAATTGATTAAAAAAAAATATTTTTATTTTTTTAAAATTACCAATACGCAATTTATCGAATATCTATTGATTCTGGATATTATGCCTTGATATCAATAAAATATTTTAATATAACATTTTGTCGTGTTGATTGCTTAAAGGGCGTTTTCCTTTTTAAACTTAATTATCGGTTAAGTTTATACATAATAGAATTTGAACGGACCATATTTTTTTTTTTTTTAACAACAAAGTCAGCTTGAATATAGTAAATCTTTAAAAAAGATTGACTGAAAAGGGATTTTTAAAGTCTACAACAATTTTTCATAGGGATTAAATTGAGCTTAGTTTTTAATGTTTAAATACATGAATGTGAATTAAGTTGAATCTTAAATCCTGTGATTTTAGTAGATTTTGAAATTTTAGAACCATCTATTTGAGGTCATATAAATGAGATTGTTGGACTACCTTTCAAATCTTATGTTCTTCCGTCTTACCTTACAGAAGACGCAGTTTAACTAGTTCTAACAAAACTACCACTCTTGTTCATTCATAAATTGCCATCTTCTTATTGTTTATTTAATTTGTTTATCTAGTCGAGATTAAGTTCTGATATCCGAGACCGAAGTCCTACTAAAGGTAGTGTAGGGAGTAGTACCTGTGAAATGTTGAACTGGAACCTACCAGAAACTGCGCAAATCTGCGAAACCTTCTCTCTGTTTAGTTTCACCACATGGTCTCCAGACTCTAATGATGATGATGAATATAATAGGTTAGTTTACAAACTAAAAAGATATGCCAAAATTAGAAAACTGCTCATCATTTTCTTTTCAACTATACTTAGGATCATATACATTATGATCCAGAACTTTGAGTTATCATCATGTAAAAATATACTATATCAGTGAAAACGCAACCATCTTCTTATAACATTTTATTCATTATATTCATTAACACAAGGTTTCATGCTTTATGCAATCTTCAGTATGAGTGATTTGAGAATTTATGAAATATACTATATATTTGATACCTATCTAATTGTTCTACCTGTATAATTGATCTACTATTGATCTAATTGATCTTAACCCTATCTTAATTGATCTGATACCTATCGAAATGTGCTACCTTTCTAATTGATGATATTTATAAAGATGATCTGCTACCTGTCTAATTGATCTGCTACCTGTCTAATTGATCTGCTACCTGTCTAAGTGAGATGCTACCTATCGAAATTATCTGCTACCTTTCAAAGTGATCTGCTATCCGTCTTAAATTATGTGCTATTTGTCTTATTGATATGCAACCTTTCTAATTTACATGATACCCTTATAAATGATCTGATACTTGTCCAATTGATCTGCTATCTGTCCAATTGATCTGCTATCTGTCTAATTGATCTGCTATCTGTCTAATTGATTATGTCGTATTGGTCTGCTATTTGTCTAATTAATATTCTACCTGTGTAATCGATTATTTGATTTACTATCAGGTTAAATGAAAGTATATCTGCAAGCCAGGAGGAGAAACAGAAGGAACAGGATTCATCTCAGAAGGTAGGCAAACAGAGCTATGGTAGCTCAGAGGTCAAAATACCTTGATTCACGTGGAATTCTTAGTATATTTTTATTTTGTTACCCCCATGGCCCACTATCAATTGAGAACACAAATCAGAGACCATAGTTCACATTAGTTTACAGTGGTTGTAGTTTTAAACACATATTTAAATAGATTTTGTTTTATTTAATCTATACAAAATCTCTGTTTGAAGGAACACGCCTTTGATGCCTTCGCTGTCCCGGAACCTGTGGACGACGACGGCGTATACGAAGATGGTGTAGCCGACAATGATTATGACGACGAAGTCAGTGATTTCAGCGAGCGAGCACACGGCCACGCAGGTCAGTTTTTCCTCCAGTTTAGCGAGTCCTAAAGGGACTGTCTATGGTCTAAGGGCTACCTAATTCTAAGTGATGTCCCATTTTACCCCCCCCCCCCCTGGGGGTACTGTTTTTTGAAGAGCGGGGGAGGGGTGGAATTGGAAATCAAAAAGCAAGTTTTTATCATCCTTTTCGTCCTTTTTCTTCCTTTTTTTCATCCTGACCTCATCCTTGCCTCATCCTTGTCTCATCCTTACCTCATCCTTGACTCATCCTTTTTCATTCTTTTTCTTACTCACCTATCCTCTGGTTAAAAAAATCATTTTCAAATGAGAGATTCATTATGTCAAGAGTTGTATACGCAATAAACATTGTTCTTCGGTATCTTTGAAACCTGTACATTGTACAACAAGTTATCGTTGTTTTTCTATCTGAAAAATTCATCCCGCATTTTTACTCAAAATTTCGCGATCTTGGGGTTGAAAAGTTTCTTATTTGTTCCGAGGCAAATAAGTAACATTTTATACAGGCAAAGCAGGTTTCCCTTTTTATTTCGCGGATTTTAATTTTTAAAAATCGCACATTTTTATGAAACTTAAATTGAATAAATTTACATATCCAACTAGCTGTCTTGTGTTATGATTTGGATGTTTTTGTTGTGATTTTTACTATTTTGTTTGTTTAAATTCAAGATTTTTAATTCCTCACTACGTTCGTGATAAAAAATCATAAATTTAAACCTTAAACATTAAACAAACTAAAAAGTAAAAATCCAGTCCAAAAAATAATTTTTTCCTGCATGATAACACAAGATAGTTTTAAATAAGTAAAACAAGAATATGTCTTTATTGCTCAGACGAAGGTACTAAGTGTTTCGTTGTAAATCCTTGAATCTCTTAAATAAAGGGTCGCTTCAAATTAGGTCTACAGTCGAATCAATTCTTCAATTAAATCATTTTAATTCGTTTAGCTGGACCACTGGCGAGAGGATTTACAGCTACCCTGCCGATGACGACGGCGGACATGTTGTCTGCGCTGACGACAGCCCCCCTGGAGTACTCGTATTTTGATCAGGGTAAGCTGGGGGCCTGGGCCGGACCTAAACATTGGAAATTTAAACCAATGTCCAGGCTTAACCCAGACGGAGAGAAAACTAAAGGAAGGAAAAAGAAGGTAAATATTTCTATCAAACTTTTAAATGAGTTTATCTTTGAATGTATCATTAAGATTCTAACATTTTTATTTTGTGACTTAGTTACAATTTGCAGTTGAGCTATTTAGATGTTACTACCTGAGTTATATATATATGTATATATATATAAAGTAATAATCTTTGTTTGTTTGTTTGTTTGTTTGTATGTCCGATCACAACTTAGGAACCTCTTGACCGATTTGCCTCAAATATTGATTGGAGGACTCGGTAAAACCAGGGTAATGTTCTTAGCTTGGTTTAAAAAGTCTAAGTTGATTCGTTTTACTTTTGAAATTAAAGTTTAGTTCCTAGGCAAAGCTGGGTCCTTTTATTTGCGGTAAAAAGTATAAATTAATATTTAGGAGATACAGAAGCTTGATTTTGATGCTTACGACGTGGATGAGGAGAAGGAAAAGATGGACACGGTTGAATTCCTCCTCTCTAAACCTAAAAAGGCGATCATGTTGGTGGATAAGACTATGAAGGGGTGGAACAGGGAGAAGACCACCTTGCCCGAGGATCTCCACTACTCAGGACACGAGCTCGTCAGGTTAAAGGTACTAAACTTCAAAACTTCGTGGTTTTTATTTTTAAAAATAGCATATTCGTATACTTTGGGTAATTTCCCGGAGAACGGTTTTTGGACCCCCCCCCCCCCCCC